TCCGGTGTGCCGGCGCCACAAGGAGGAGGATTAGCCTACTGAGCCACGACGCCGGCTATCTCTTTGCATTCTTATAAAAATCCTAATCCTGCCAAAAATGAAGTCATGTCCTTGGTATCCTGGGAGAGGAGACACATAGGGAGAGCACAAGGGGAACATGTCAATGAATGTCTTTTATTTATCTGAGAGGCAGAGACAGAGAAGGAGGAAGAGAGGGTGATCCTATCTACTGGTTCATTCGTCAAATGCTCCAACAGTTGGGATTGGGCTGGAGCAGACAAACACAGAATATTCCTGGGGGGGGGGGGGGGGGGGATGGTCAATTTGGCCAAAGGTTAAAAGGGAGGCTACTGGCAGATCACAGGAGACTCCCACACGTCATCAGGAGCCACACACAGCCACCAGGTGTCTTTCTAGAGTGTTGATTTTCTCTGAAGTTATGTAAAGCCAGGTCAAGTCTTTTAACTGGTTCTGCATATTATGTTCACAGAAATGCAAATATTGGCATATTTTATACAAAGATATGCATGAGTTTTTAAGATTAAAACACTTCAAAGAATGCTGTCACCTGCAGCAGGAGCTCAGACTCTGAACGCTCACTTTGCCAGACTCCTTCTCCCGCAACACCAACCCAGTCAGTGTTTGAGCTCAGTCAAGTGTCTCTGCTGTGATCTCCCAAGCTGACTCTGCTGCCTGACCACTGGCACAGTCCTTGCCCAAGCTCTCCTGCTCTCTTGCTCAGGTTATTGCAGCTGATTTCTGGCTGTCCTAAGAAGATACCTGGAATTACAGCAGCTCAGCGCCGGAACCCCTCCAGCCTCTGCTCTCTACCCTTCTTTCACCTGTGCCCCAATCACACCAACCCCCTCCCCAGCGGTTCCCTGGAAGGTCCTTGTTCCACATCTGTTCCACACACGTCTTTGTCCACTTGACCAACAGCTCCTCCTTTGAGAAAGCATTTCCTGCATTGGACCAGCAACCTGCCTTTCTATATCCTGCGCTCCTTGGGAAAACCAAAACCTCAGTCAGTTCTCCTGAGAGAACTTTCTTTGCTTCTGTTTCTGGGATAACTAAGCAACCCCCATACTTTTTCAATCAGGTCTCTTTCCCAGGCTCTATGTGAATCAGCAGGAATCAATCAATGTTTTATTATCTGAGAAATTAGCCCGAGGCAATGGAGACAGGCACCATTTTCAGATTATGAGACTGACGCGCTGCCTACTGCGCTAAGAAGTCACTTCCAACGGGCACCATTTTCCTACACCTTGTATCTCCCACCTCCCCAGGAGCAAATTGTTTTAAGTGGCTCTATAAACACACACTATAAACTTGCTAAACATGCGGAGCCAAGGATAAACAGATGAGTGCCACACATCCCTACTGCGGAGAAATTAACAATTTCTGTAGCTATTTCTTTTTCCAGCTCCTTCCCAAAGCCAATGCTCACCTAGAAGGGCACATGAACTCACTCTGTCACTAGCTGCACCAGGGAATAGCCGAGGAGAGGCCCCAAGGAGAACCCTGCTCAGCGAATCTAACACAATGCACAGAGAATGCTGCATCGTCACCACGTGGGAGGTGGAGGCTCTGCAGGACACCCGGCCCCTGGTTCCCCTCTTCTCTCCTGTAGTAATCTGCTTCTCAAGGCCTCCTGCCACACAGAACAGGTATAGGCTGGCATGTGGAGTCCAAAGCAGCTTGCTTCTCCGAATAGAGACCTTTGACTTTACAGAAATAGAACTTGAGTTAAACCCTCAGGGCTGCAGTTGGCTTGGCCCTGATTGACACAGTTATCAGCTTTCTCCACACACCCCTGCCTCCCCTCAGAGGTTTTGCTCAATCTCATCCTTGTGGCCCATATACACTGCTCTCTACCCTCACCCCTTTAGCAATTCTCTTCCCTCTAAACAGTGCCAAAACTGTTTCTTTCAGGTACGAGGAAGTAAGTTGCTCTCTGAGTGGCTGTAGTTAAACCTCTTTCTCCATGGTTACGGGAACCCTGTTTGGCCTGTATCTCAGATCCTGTCCCAGAAGTCTTCCTACATGCGTGTGTGACTTTTCTGGCATTCTGCCAAAGGCAATTTGTTCTAGAAGACACCGTTACCTGATCTTATTCTTTTCTTTGTCTTCCTCACAAGGTTTGAGCTTCTAAAACCCCCATTATGTCTCAGCCACATGGATAAAGCTTGTAGAGTCCTTGAATAGTATCCAGAATATTTCATAACTACGGGAAGAGCAGAATTATTCAGGTGGAGTGTATCAAACTCTACATGGCTACATACTAGAGAAAGGGAGAGAGGGAGGTATTGTTGATCCAAATCCATGGGTCCAACTGAATGCCTGAAAAGCATTTGACACCTTGCGAATGGAGTTACAACTCTGGCTTCAGCCCAACCAGCTAAAAGCATTTTATCAGTTTCACAGGAGAAATTGCTCTGGCGGCTACTCAATGTTTTCGACTATCCCTGCAACCAGCAGGACTCGGGTAGTTCTGATCAGCCCCACTCCAAACTTCTAACTGAAAATAAAAGGGCTTCTGAGTCCTTGTCAGTGCCATCAGCAACAAAGACCCAGGGACCACTGGATGCTGTTGACCCACTGAGGATGCAACAGATCATGGGTCCTGCTTTCTCCTCCTATTTTGTTAAGAGCTCCTAAGTTGAATAATTGGTCACATAAGTCCAATGAGACTAAATTCCCAACTGGTAAAAATGTTGATTGTCTGTGTTTTCCCAGAAACCTGGACTAGTCTAGGCACAATGTGGCCTGAGACACACGGATCATCTGATGCTGCTTGTATTATGTTACCCACAGCTCCCACTTATGCAACCCAAGTACTCATCGTGACCCCCTGCTTACTCAAAAAATCCCTCTACTGGCTCAATATTTGTTCAGACATAAGCATATCTACACTCTCCAGCTGGCCCTCGACTGTAGAACTGATGGGGGTTCACTCTGGACTCATCATGAACACCCACAGGCAGGACTGGGCACCTAACCACATATCATCCTCTATAATTCTCCAGTTCCTACGAGCGCCTCTACTGCTTCTGCTTCTGAGACAGAATAGCGCAGTGGTTAAGAGCACTAGCTCTGAGCAGATCTGGATTCAAATCCTGGATTCCCCAATTCAATTAGCACCCATAGAATGCCAAGCCTGGCACAGAGTATGCCTCTCTGAGTGCCACCCATACATACAATCATTGCCCAGAGATCAAGAGCCACCTTTTCATTATTTCCTCCTTAGCTACACACATGATAGGTGTTTAATAGAAACACACTAACGGGGTGAATAGTTTCCGCAAGGAGGCTACACTTCTCCTTTTTAAAGTCATTTCTGCACAAGAATTCTGATGAAAATGCTTAGGTACACTTGCTAGTTGGGATCAAGCTTGGAGGATCGTCCCTTGCTCTCCTCCACATCACCTGTTCCTTTAAAAAGAAGGAAGAAATCTCCCGCACTGCTCCAGTTGCTAAAGGTTGCTGCAGGAATGAGTCAGCAACTCACCCTGCAGCTGGCAGCCTGGGCCCTGCTCTGCGCATTGCGTTCAGCGTGTCCTGTGGCAGCCACGGTGGTGCCCAAGGACACTCTGCTTCACCCCCCTGCAATGCTGCAGCGGCCGCTTTGGGTGCATGCCTGGCTGCCCCCGTGCAGTACTCACAGCCTGATGCTGGTGAGTGTGCAAAAGAGCTGCTTCATGTCAGCTGCCCTCAGGCCCTCCGTCACGTCTGGTCCCCAAAGTCAACAATTAAGGAGGCAGATCACGTTCCTGCCTAACACAATCCTCCCAGGGCAGCCTGCCGGCCATCTGGATAGCAGGCCAAAGCAAATGCAAAGCCACATCCTTCCATCTGAAAAGCTCCGGCTCTGACTTATCTGGGGAGTGGGAGGCTAGGGAGAAGATCTTGATTAGGGCACTACACGTGCTGTCTGAGCTGCAGAGGAAATGGATTCTGTCTACTTTCTCTTGTGAGACAGCACTCTAGGTGCTCAGTGATGGTCTCCTGGCTGGTGGAGGTTGGAAACTGGCCAAGTCCTTTAAGTAGGCCTGTACTCTTGCCCTGCCTCACCACCGCCCCCAACCACCATCACCTGCCACCCACCGTGCCTCCTCTCTCCTCACCCCTCTCAGAGTCCCCTGGAAGCAAGGGAAGAGCTCACTCTCTTCCCCCTCCCCCACCATTGGTTTGTTGAAGTTACCCGGAAAAGCCAGAAGGCATGGGCTTTGAAGGAAGGCACACAGCCGTTCCAGCACAGGGAAGAATGTACTGGCCCATGATGCAGGAGAATGAAGATGGCATGGCCCTCTCCTTTGAGTGTGGCCACTAAGAGCCTCAGTGATTGAAATGGAAACCGAGGGGCCGATGCTGTGGCATAGTGGGTAAAGCCACCTCCTGCAATGCCAGCATCCCATGTGGGTGTCGGTTCAAGTCCTGGCTGCTCCACTTCCGATCCAGGTCTCTGCTATAGCCTGGAAAAGCAATAGAAGATGGCCCAAGTCCTCAGGCCCCTACACCTGCGTGGGAGACCCAGAGAAATTGGGACAACTCCGGCCATTGCGGCCAATAAAGGAATTAACCAATGGATGGAAGATCTCTCTTTCTCTCTGCCTCTCATTCTCTTTCTCTGAAACTCTGACTTTCAATAAATAAATAAATAAATCTTTAAAAAAAAAAAAAAAGGAAAGAAAGGGAAGGGGTTTCTTCAGCCCCCAAGAATGCATGTCCTGGTCTGCTTTATACAAACTTTCTCCCAAAAGTTATTCTAGTTAATGACTTGCCTGTCTCTTCTGCTCGCCTCCTCACCACACACACACACAAGATCCATCCCTTGGAATATGGTGCTGCAAGAGACATTAGTGATTAATGATTTCTGATTCTCAAAATGAGACTGAGAACCAGAAATAAGTGGCACAGCTAGGCAGTGGCCTTGCCATATTCTTGAATTTCAATCAAGTGATCCTTTTTTTAAATATTTATTTATTTACTTCAGAGGAAGAGTTTCAGAGGGAGAGATAGAGAGAGGCCCTCCATCCGCTGGTTCACTCCCCAATTGGCTGCAACAGCTGGAGCTGGGCCAATCTGAAGCCAGGAGCCAGGAGCTTCCTTCAGGCCATCTTCCACTGCTTTCCCAGGCCATAGCAGAGAGCTGGATCGAAAGTGGAGCAGCCGGGACCAAAACCGACGCCCATATGGGATGCCAGCGCCACAGGCAGATGCTTTAACCTGCTAAGCCACAGTGTGGGCCCCTCCAGCGATCTTTTTTCTTCACCATGAAATTATTTTTATTTTCTGTTTGGAGGAGAGAGTTATTTCTGTTTATTTAGCATCTTTTCAGATAATGGGTCTTCCGAGGAGAACCACTGTCAGATTATTCCTCTGAGAAATCGCAACATCTCCTGGTTACAGCAAGTCCCCCCAGGTAAGAGGTTCTCACAGAATCCTGCCGTCCTTGCATTCCCCAGGGAACAGCGTCTCACCCGGGTGGCACACAGGACCCCGGCCCTCTCACCTTCCCACGTGACGAACTACACATATGCTTGTCACACACAGGGGCAGCGTGACTCTTCCAGGTCTGATCTAAAGCCCAGATGGGTGCAGTCAGCACGTGTAACACAGAACGTCCTCCTTTGCAAAGGCAGCCGTGTATGCTGAGGTCGTGAAAAGGGAACTGGGCGCTTCCACGTTGATCAGTGCAGCCAGCCCACGCCCATCTAGAGCCCTCTGGGTGACTTCGGGTCCGGGGGACGTTATACTTGGCAGGCCTTCCTGACCAGCCATTTTTACGCTGGTCCTCTTGGGTGACTGCGGACTGCAGCGATCAGACGGCTTGCCGCCCCCGGCAGGTGTGCCAGCCAAGCTGCGGACGTGTTTCAGGAGAAAGAGCGCCACCTGCTGTCTCCCAACATTCCGCCTAGAAAACCGCAGTGCCCTTAGCTGCTCACTGCTGAAGGGGTCTCAGCTCCCCAGTGAGGGAAGAACACAGCACCTGTCATACTGGTACTGCGACCCCATCTCAGACCTCAGGCCCTGAGCCAGTGGATCTCCCAGGAAACCCTGGCCGAGTGCTCGTGGCCCGCGCCTTTCTCCTTTCTGACTGCTCCACTTTCCTCTTCCGACTGAGAACAGAGAGACGCCTTAAAGGCTTGTAGTTCAGCCGAGGAGCTGAGCGTAGACACATCCAAAGCCCTTTTTATTCCAACAGACTTGGCCCACACCAAGTACAGGCGGGATCGCATGTGTGTGTTTCAGATTTCTGGCTGCAGAGAATCTGCCCTGCTTTGCTGATCTCACCAGCACTGGGCCTCTCTCTCCTCTGCATTCTGCTCTGCAGTGCAGCCCTTTGTTCAAAGCCCAAGTCTCCCGAAAGGAGGCCCTAGACCTGATCAGTCTCTGCAGCCTGGCCTCTTGGATGCTGTCATCACCAGCTGGTGCCCTGGGGGTCCTCCTGCCCTCACACTAACGGAAAAGGACACAGCCTCCCAGCTCCTCCTCTCTCAGTACCTTCTTTCTAAGTTCACCACCTCCCCTACCCACCCCCCAAATCATATCAGCCTTATTATTTTATGGGTTTTATGTCGAATCATAGCCAATGAAAAGATGAGATGACAAATATGATGATTTTTAAAGATTTATTTATTTATTTGAAAGGCAGAGTTACAGAGAGGCAGAGGCAGAGAGAGGTTTTCCATTTGTTGGTTCACTCACCAAATGGCCACAATAGCCAGATCTGGGCTGATCCGAAGCCAGGAGCCAGGAGCCAGGAGCTTCTTCCAGGTCTCCCACATGGGTGCAGGGGCCAAAGGACTTAGGCCATCCTCTACTGCTTTCCCAGGCCATAGCAGACAGCTGGATTGGAAGTGGAGCAGCTGGGACTCGAACCGGCACTCATATGTGATGCTGGCACTGCAGGCATCAGCTTTACCCACTACGCCACAGCGCAGGCTCCAACTAGCATGATTTTATAATTCACAAAGTTTCCTGAGGTTTTTGAATGGATATCTCCTGAAACAAAGGAAAACAGATTCAGTTGTGAATTCTACTCACCCAGTCAGTTTTTCATCTCTACAACCAATACCTGACCCAGACTACATATGAAGAGAGCAAGTTTATTTTAGTTTATTGCTTTGGTAGTTTACAATTTAAGCTCAGGTGGCCCCATTGGTTCAGTCGTCTGCTGAAACCAGAGGAGGCTGGAGAGAGTTGCACATAGCAAGCCAGGAAGCAGAGAGAGGCCAGACACTACTTGGCTTATACAATCATCCCTCTCACAAGAGCACGCCCCCAGTGACCTAAGGACCACCCATCAGGCCCAGCTCCTAGGCACCATAATTGAATAAAGACACCACTCCATTAGTATCATCTGTCCATGACTTTGGAACTTACTCATCCATGTGAGTGGAGGAGCCAAATCATGTTCAAACCATAGCATCTACTTATCTCTGCTCTCATCCCACCTCCAACTAAAGACTTTGAAAGCTAAGTAAAACTTCACAATCAAGGATGGGGAAGAGAGTGCCATGATTTCCACCAAGGGGGGCTCCACCCCAGAGACCCCACATAACCATTCTGTGCCTCACTTTTCTCCTCTGAAAAATGGGCTTAGCAAATGTGTGCATCCTGGGGCCAACACTTGGTATAATGGGTTAAGCCACTGCCTGCAGTGCCAGCATCCCATGTGAGGGCCAGTTCGAATCCCAGCTGTTCCACTTCCAATCCAGCTCCCTGCTAATGCACCTGGGAAAGCAGTGGGAGATGGCCTAAGTACTTGGCCCCTGCACCCACATGAGAGATCTGGATGAAGCACCTGGCTCCTGGCTTCAGCCTGCTCCAGCCCCAGGTGTTTCAGCCATTTGAGGAGTGAACTAGCAAATGAAAGATTTCTCTCTTTCTCTATCTCTTTTAAATAAATAAAATAACTTTTTTTAAAAAAAATGCATGCACTCACAAGAAAATCCTCATTTAACTGAATATTTAATGGATAATAAGGTGTTTAGGCCTCTCACATAGTAAGCACTCACAGGAAGCTAGTTATTATTGCTACTCTCACTCATTCTACTCTCTGCCTCGTTATCAGGTCAGTCTTACTCATCACTTGTCCACAATGTATTTAATGGAAAAAATTAAGTCCACTTGGTGGTCAGTTAATTATGTAATTGATTTCATGAAACAAACTACTGTTGGCAAGAGAAGGGGATATAAAGTACAAAAACCCACAAGGAAGGAGACATGAGCCCAGCAAAGTATAAGGAGCGATAACCTGGGGGAAGTGCCAGGGAGTACCAGGAGGGAAAATACCTTGAAAAGACTGGGAGGAGAGAAAGAAAAAAGATCTCATCACTTCATTGTGCAAAAGTGGTCACAATGCAAAATGCAGACCTTCATTTTAATCCCTGGAGCTTGATCCATGGAGTTTCATCCACGGGCAACTGGGCCGCTTTCCTCAGTAAAGAATAGGCCAATACTGCTGTCCTGGCTACGTCCCAGTTCCATTAACCTACCGTCTTCCTTCCACTCTCCTTGCAGGCTCTGCATGCTACAGGATAATTCTGCATTGTGGTCATACTCAGAGTTGCAGAGCTATTGACTGGCTGAGGCTTTCTGAGCCAGTCCTAGGTCAGCTGTCTGAAGATGACACTGACTTCCCCAGCCCCTAGCTTTGACAGGCCCGGTGGGAAGGCTGTGGCTGCCATCAGGGCTGTGCTGCCAACGTGGCTGTCCTGCTAACAGGTCCTTCCTTCACAGTTCATCTTAGTGTCTTCTGATGAACAAGCAAAGGCAACCAGAGTCTGAGGGAGTGAGTTTGGCAGGGAGGGAGTGAGTTTGGCAGGGGGTGAGTGTCTTGGGACATTCCATCCCACACTGAATTCCAGCCCGCCCTGTGCTGAGGCAGCAGAACCTTGCGTTTGCCACGAAGCAGGGATGCCCATTAGCCAGGCAGCTGGCAGTGAGTAGGCATGGATTTGGGGTCCCCCTGAGCAGCAGGCCAGCAAGTGAGCCAACCAAAGAGTGTTTGGAGGTAGATAAACACCACTGAAGAGCTCACTCACATCTGAAACAGGCTAAGAATCCCAGTTAGCAGAAAGCAGATGCCAACTAGACAAGTGGGCATCCCAGACAAGTGCTGGAATGAAGCTCATAGACTGGAACAACAAGCAGGCCCTCACTTCCTACAGTCTGAGTCTATGATCTCAATCTGCAAAATGAAATCTCAAGTAGTCCGTCAACTTCCACCACCTTAATTGTTATGAAAAATTACAACTGTAGGATGCATCTTATAAGTAATGAAATGTTTTATTTCTATAGATTGTTTTAACAAAACTCCAACCCACATAAGTCCCAGGGATTCCTTCCATGGCCCTTTGTGACTGGTCCGTGATGTACACTCAGTTACTGTCCAGCACCTGTGACCTCAGCGACACTCAGGCAACAGTCATGTCTCCTTCCTCTTCCTGTGGCAGTCCTGTGCTGCCTGTTCAGCTTCATCATGAACACAAATGTCAGTTGTAACCATGAATATCACTGCCCTAGAACCTCAGTTCTTAAACATTGGTGGTGACCTCAACTACTTGAGTTTTAAATTAGTGATGCCCATCCTATACTGTGGAATCTGAACCCCTGACCATGAGTAGTTTGATTGAGCTGCTTCAATAAGTTCCCATGTGTTTCTGACAATCCCAGCGGTTGAAACCCGCTTTCCACCACCTTGCTACTCAAAATATGGCTAATGAGCCAGCAGCATCAACACTGAGAAACATCTAGAAGGGCAGACTCTCTGGCCCCACACAGACCTATAGAATCAGAGTCATTATATTAACAAGATCCCAAGTGATTCATGAGCACATTAAAATTTAAGAAGTCCCACCCTAGGACAAAAGCCATGACCTCCTGTCAACCTAGTATAAGTAAATGACAGAATTTCCTCCCATCAGGGTCGATGACTCCTGCATTATGGTGACTCCTTGTCTTGTTAGCTGCACAACAGAAACTATAGACATGCAGCAGGAGCAGCCAGTTGATCAGGATCCTCTAACCAACCCTAAATTTTCCAATTTCCCTATTTCAAATACTCTTGCAACTTGCAAATAGTCACTGACACCAGAGACCCAGAGATGGTAAAGAGCACAAACAAGACAGGGTGTCAGGTTGAAGTCCAGGTTCAAATCTCACCTCTGCTTTTTTTTTTTTTTTAACAGGCAGAGTGGACAGTGAGAGAGAGAGAGACAGAGAGAAAGGTCTTCCTTTGCCATTGGTTCACCCTCCAATGGCCGCCGCGGCTGGCGCGCTGCGACTGGTGCACCGCGCTGATCCCATGGCAGGAGCCAGGTGCTTCTCCTGGTCTCCCATGGGGTGCAGGGCCCAAGCACTTGGGCCATCCTCCACTGCAGTCCTGGGCCATAGCAGAGAGCTGGCCTGGAAGAGGGGCAACCGGGACAGGATCCAGCGCCCCGACCGGGATTAGAACCCAGTGTGCCGCACCTCAAGGCAGAGGATTAGCCTAGTGAGCCACGGCGCCGGCCATCACCTCTGCTCTTTCTGGCAGGGCACTCACGGGAAGATCACTTAGTTTCTTGACATGTAAAGTGAAGGACATCTGAAAGATTCCCAGGGCTCCTTCTAGCTCTTCATATAACTGTTATCTTTCCCCAGTTACTTCACACAAGTGGAAAGTCATACTTGGAAGCAACATTGAATCACATAATTCAGACTTGTTTCTTGTCATCCCCATTTTACACACAGTAAACCAGGACAGAGTTTTCAGTGGAATCTAGAACCTCCAAGGTCAAGTTCAGTGTTTTTGCACCAGTGACTAGGATCATCCCTCTTAGGTTTGGGTGGCCCCAAAAGCACATTCTGAGACAAAGGTTTGCATGCACAAAGTTTTTGGGACAAGTCCTCAGGTATAATATCAGGCAAAAGAAGAACTACAGGAAGTTCGGGAGCTAGGATGCCTTACAATATGGTCTGGAGTCAAGACAAAGGAGCCAGGGTTTCTTGTTCTACCCCAACCAATTGTTGGTTGTGGATTTCCTTGCGGAGGAGCTGTGAGCATGGGCTCCCTTCAGACATGAGTAATTCTTGGAGAGGAACTCCTATGTCATTCATTAGCAGCCAGTACTCCCGGCAGTTGGATGCTGAGTACTTCAATCCTAGGTAGGAACTCCAGGCAATACACCACAATATCCAGTGCTGTGTAGCTTTTGTACCAGCCAGATTCACCCTTTCTGGGAGCAACTTCTCTGTCCTTTCTTCACCCGGGGAAACATTCAGAGCTAGATTAGTGGGATAAACCACCATTACAGCATCTGGTCTTGAGGCTGTGGATGATCTTTGCTATCACCTTCCTCTGCTATCCATTTCAGATTCCTCTCACCCTCGGCTAATATCTCTGCTGGTCTATGTTCCTAATGGTGTGGCCCAAGCCCTCATCCCTGAGAACACTGAGCAAGTTTCTTCTCACCACTCTCTTCTCTGGCCATGGGTGCTACACTTGTCTACTTATTTTAAATCGAGTTAGGGGGTATTGAGAGATGCCCCGTTGTGACAACTGAATGCTACATTATGCAATATGGCACTACTTCATCCTATTATCCAGGTCAATCCTTCCTACCTATGTAGTGACTCCTGTCCCTGCCTGCTGACGTCTGGGTACAAGGAGGCAGAAGAGAACAGATGGTAATGACAGCTTAGGGTACAATGTGCCCTTATCATAGACACTGTTTAAAGCATTCCCCCTCCAGAAACCAGCACCTCTAGACCTACAGGGTCTACTGCTGTGGGGATGGAGAGCACAAATTTTCCATGTGAGTCACTGGGAGGGATAGCAAACAAGGCAACTCCTTATTTACCCTCACATCCCTCTATAGCAGTTGTTTATTTAGAGTACATATCACATGGATCACCTAAGTCCCTGCCACCATGGGCATTCTATTCACTACCCTTTGCTCATATACTAGAATAGTCGAAGACAGAAGCTGTTTGAGGCCAGCTGGCTGAGTCAATTTATCACGTGGTTGTCTGGTACCTCTTCCAAGATGGCTGATCTCAGGTGGTGTTGACATGCAGTACAAAGATTCTGACCCTTTATGCCCACATCCAAAGGCTATACCTCTTCACCAGCCATATTATTCCAAGCTTTTCAATCATTTTCTTTCCACATCCCTGATCCACCAGCCAAGCCACTCATTACTTCTCGTGATCCTATAGATATATGAGGGTACTTTTGAAAATTCATAGGAATTGGAAATAAAAGATGAGTCTATTTTGGTGCAAAAAAATTTTTAAGTCCATAAATTATTTTTCATATGTGTTTTCACAAATTTTTGCATGGATTTCATTTTTGCACCAAAATAAACATTTTTAATTCCATTTTTTAAGCCCCCTCATATATTCCTACTTTAGTCCACTTCTCTCTCTTTACAGAATGAATTATTAGGTCTGTCGCTCAACATTTTGCCTATTGAGAGAATTTCCTCTCATCCCTTTCTTTAGGAGTCACCCTCAGTGGAGCTTTGGTTCACAGCAGTAGATTTTCAGGCTTGCACACAAACAAAGCCAACCCATCTGTAACCCAAATTTGACCATTTTTCCCCTCCATACACTGTTCGTAATGTAGTCTCCACTGCAGCCATTGCCACCAGTGTGTGCTGACGGACAGAAAACAACACAGGTGACAGAAGAGTCCGAGCCACTTGCTCACATAGCTTCCCTGTGATCTGTGGCCTGCTTGTGCTTGACACTGAATGAACCACTTGCATCTTGCAGGCTCATCTGAAAGAATCGAGCTCATGATGGGCAGCTCCATTCAGCTACAAAAAATTCCTTAAGAGGCACTCAACTGTAGTCATCAACAGCACACACAGATTGATTACCTGGGAAATGAGTCCCTTGACCCTAAATGGGGAATCTTGAAAGTACACTATGGAAACCATGCTAGCATTGAATCTTCACATAACCCTCTGAAAAAGCCAGAGAGGGCATTTACTTTCTTTCATCTTGCAGGTAAAGAACCCAAAGTAATTCAAGGTTAGACACCTTCTCCAGTTAATGGAAAATCGACCCAATCCAGTCTCAGAACAGGAGTCTGTAAACCCGTTCTGTCCAATAGATATATAATATGAGCCACATATATACTTCTAAATTTTGTGTTAATATACAAGTAATCAAAAGAATGTAGTGGAAATTATTTTAATTCTATATTACTTAATCCAAAATACTATAATTTCAATACATAATCAGTATTTTTAGAGTAATAAGATACTTTACATTGGTTTTATCACCCTAAGTCTTTGAAATCTGGCATGTGTTCTCATTTACAGCACATCTGAATTTGAACAAGCCACATTGCATGTGCTTAATAGCCACAGGTGGCAACTATCTTGGAAACCACAGCTCTAGATCCTATCCAGTTCCCTTTGCTATTCTTGAGATTGCCTTCCTAATTGGCAGGAACCAGAGGCTGGAAAGGAAATTCTTGGACAACAATCCTGCCATTGGTAGAAGGCTAAGTCCTTGCCACTTCTAAACTTCTACAACACCCTCTCCTTTGTCACAACATGTTCTACTGCCCCCTTTTAGCTTCCCGGGAGTTACCGCTGCTACTTGCCAAGAGGATTGGAGTTACAATAAAAAAAAAAAAAAACAAAAACAGTGGTAGACAATGTTTAACTCCATCTCTGGGTGTACCCTATAATTAAATGCTAAACCCAACTCAATTTGGTTTCTGTAGCAACCAAAGGAACCATTCCCCTGCAGCTCCGTTCATCACTCCTTGTCAAATTTTGAAATGCAGGTGTCTGCAACACACTCACTGTCCCAAATGACTGAGCTCCAATGTTCTCTGAAGCCTTTGATTCTGAGCTTGATCCACAGGTATAGGAGGCAGTGTGAAGACTTCTAATCAAGTCTTTGCCTAATATGGAAATGTAGGAAAAGCAGAATTAGAAGTCCTCATTTGTAGAAATCTTCAGAAATGGGACATATCTTCAATGGCTTGAAAAGATGGAAGAAAAAGACTTTGTGGAGGCTAAAGGAAGCCTTAGACCTGAAACACTCAGTGCCAAGTCAAGAAGCTTTAGGAGGTAACCATGATCTGTGGGGATGAGCACCAGGGAGCAGTCATGAGCCCCAAAAGCAATTTACTTACTTTTGTCTCCTTCCCTTCATCTAGTAGAATGCATCAGGTTTGGAAGAAGTGAATTCAATTCTAAGATTACAGCATTGATTTAGATGCTTGGGGCCCAGAGATGTGGAACCATCCTGGGAAACTCTTGGCCATCCCTGGCCAAAACCTCAGGACTGGAGTGAATGACTCAGGGATCTTCTGTAGGAGTCAGTCCCGCCCACTGGGTACTGAGTTTCTTCCTATTGGCTCAGAACCTCAAAACAGACCTGTTTCCCTAGAAGACTCTAGAGTAGTGCTTTCCAGGCTTTTTTGGACACAAGCCACAAGATATGTGTTGCAATAAACTTGGGAATACAGATGTCCTTTCAAAAGATAGGCTTCATTTCCCTTGTGTACATTCCCTGCAATGAGATTGTTGGATCATATGATGGTTCTATTTTTAGCTTCTTAAGGAATCTCCATACTGTGTTCCACAACAGCTGTAGGAATTTACATTCCCACCAACAGTATATGAGGACTCCCTTTCTGCCACATTCCTGCCAAATCTTGTTAGCTTTCATCTTTTTGCTGGTAGCAAATCTTACTGGTATGAGGTTACACCTCATTGTTGCTTGCATTTCCCTGAGTAGTGATACAGAGCATGTTTTTCATGTACCTGTTGGTAAATGTGTATGTCTTCCTCTAAGACATTTCTGTTTAAATCTATTGTCCATATTTTAATCAGATTGTTTCAACTTTTGTTTTTATTTGTTCCTTTTGCTATTGAGTCCTTTATAATTCCAAATAACCCCTTGTCAGAGGTATAGCATGCAAACATTTTCTCCCATTCCGAAGGATGTCTCTTTATTCTACTGATTGTTTCATTTGTTGTCGGGAAAAACTCTTTAGCTTGATGAAATTCCATTTGTCTTTTTTTAAGATTTATTTATTTTATTTGAAAATCAGAGCTAGAGAGAGAGAAGAAAGAGAGAGAAAGAGAGAGAGAGATCGATCTTTCATCTACTGGTTCACTCCCCAAATGGCTGAAACAGTCAGGGGAGAGCCCAGGTCAAAGCCAGGAGCCAGGAACTTCATCCAGGTCTCCCACGTGGATGCAGGAGCCCAAGGATTTAGGATGTCTTCTGCTGCTTTCCCAGGCACATTGGCAGGGAACTGGATTGGAAGTGAAGCAGCTGAGATGCAAACTCACTCCCATATGGGATGCTAGCATTGCACGTGAAGATTTAAGCCACTACACCACAATGCCAGGCCCCTGTTTGTCTATTTTTTCTTTTATCTCCTGTCCTTTCTGGAGTCTGATCCTGAAAATCCCTACATATTTTAATGTCCTGAAGTGGTTTCCCTATGTTTTCTTCTAATAGCTTCAAAGTCTTGGAATTCACATTTAGGTCTTTTATCCATTTGGGGCTGATTTTTATAAATGGTGAGAGAAAGTGGTCTAGTTTCATTCTTCTGCATATGGATAACTGATTTACCCAGCAGCATGTATTAAAAAGTCTATCCTATTTACAAGGTATATTCCTAGCAACTCTGTCAAAGATCAGCTGGCTATACATGCGTGGGTTTATTTCTAGGACCTGTGTTCTGTTCCACTGGTCTCCGAATCTGCTTTTATGCCAATAACATGCTATTTTTTTAAGATGTATTTATTTTATTTGAAAGATTGAGTTACAGAGAGGCAGAAGCAGAGAGAGAGAGAGAGAGAGAGAGAGAGAAACAGAGAGGTCTTCCATCCTCTGGTTCACTCCCCAAACTGCTGCAACGGTGCTCGTAGGTGCAGGCCCCAAGGACTTGGGTCATCTCCCATTGCTTTCCCAGGCATAGCAGAGAGCTGGAATGGAAGTGGAGCAGCTGGGACTCGAATCAGTACCCATATGGGATGCCAGCACTGCAAGCGGCAGCTTTACCCTCTATGCCACAGTGCCAGCCCCAGTAATATGCTATTTTAATTACTGTAGCTTTGTAATATATATTAAAGTTGGATAGTGTAATGTCTACTTCTTTGTTCATTTTGCTCAAGATTGCTTTGGAGTCTTTCAGGGTTCCATACAAACTTCAGTAGTGTTTTCTCTAGTTATATGACAAATGTCATTGGCATTTTGATAGGGATTGCACTGAAAGTATAAATCACTTTGGGTAGTAGGCATATTTTGAGTATATTGGTTCTTCCAATTTATGAACATAAGATGTCTTTCCATTTTCATTTTGTCTTCTTCAATTTCTTTGATCAGTGACACACTTTTCATTACAGATATATTTCACTTCTTTGGTTAAATTTATTCCTAGGTATTTTATGTTTTTGCAGCTCTTGGAAATGGGATTATCTTCTTGATTTCTTTTTCAGATGATTCACTATTTATGTATAACAATTCTAATTTTTGTACATTGACTACATATGCTGCATTGCTAAATTTGTTTATTGATTCTAGCAGCTTTTTTGGTGGAGTCTTTGGAGTTTTCTAAATAAGATCATGTCATCTGCAAACAGTGACAGCTTGATATCCTCCTTTTTTATTTGTATGTCCTTTATTTCTTTCTCATGAGTGATTGTTGTAGCTGAGATCTCCAGTACTATGTTGAATAAAAGTGAGCATCCTTGTCTTGTATCAAATCTTAGAGAGAAAACCTTCATATTTTTTCCATCCAGTGATATTGCTTGTTACTTCGGTATACATGGCCTTTTTTATGTTGCGGCATGTTCCTTCTACACCTAATTTAGTCAGTGTTTATCATGAAGAGATATTGAATTTTATCAAATGTATTGCTTCTATTGAAATGATCATATGACTTTTATTCTTCATTCTATCACATTTATTGATTCATATATCTGAACTATTCTTGCATCCTTAGAATGAATCTCACTTGATCACTTTTTTAATATGCTTTTGGATCCAATCAGCTAGCACTTTGATGAGGACTTTTGCAACTACTTTAATCAAGGATGTTGGTCTGTAGTTTAATTGTTCTGTCCTTCTCTGGCTCTGGCTTCAAGGCAATGCCACTCTCATATAATAAATTTGGAAGAACTCACTCCTATTTTTTGAAATAATGAAAAAAGGATTGATGTTAATTCCTCTTTAAATATTTAGTAGAATTCAGCAGGGAAGCCAACTGGGACTGGGCTTTTCTTTGATGAGGGATTTTTTTTTTTTATTAGTGCTGATTCAATGTGGCTACTCATTATTGGTCTATTTAGGTATTCTATTTCCTCATTATTCATTCTGGGTAAGGTATATGTGTCCAAGAATTTTCCATTTTTCTAGGTTATTGAATTTTTTGCCATATAGTAATCAACAGTAATCTCTAACAGTTCTTATATTTCTGTGCTGTCAGTGGTAATGTCTCTATTTTCAACTCTAATTCTATATATTTGAAATTCCCCTCTATTTCCTAGGCTAGTCTAGCTAAGGGTTTATTAATTATATCTTTTGAAAAAAAAAAGCTCTTCATTTTTTATTTTTTCTCTCTGTTATTTGTGCTCTGAGTTTTATTATTTATTTATTCCTATCAATCTTGGATTTTATTTTTTCCTCATTTTTTTACTTCCTTGAGGTATAGCAATAAGTTGTTTACCGAATTGATCTGGAGTACAATTTAATTCTGCGATTTCTTTGTTGATTTTCTGTCTAGAAGATTTGTCTATTTCTGAATGTGGGATATTAAAGTCCAGAACTATTACTGTATTGGAGTCTAACTCCAATATTGGATTTATGTATATTTACAGTGTTATTTCCTATTGAATCCTTTATCATAATGAAATCACTTTCCAGCTGTATTTTTACTGCTTTTGATTCAAAAATATATTTTATTTTACAGGGGTATGGCTACTCCTGCTTTATTTTCATTACATGTAACACCTTGTTCCATCCTTTCACCTTCCTTCTATGTGTGTCATTTGAACTGAAGTGAGTTTCTTTTAAGCAGCATATAGTTGCATCCTCTTTTTTACTCATTCACTCACTCTATGCCTTTAACTGGAGAATTGATCCCATTGACATTCAAGGTAATTATTGATGAGGTCTCACCATTTCCATTTTGATATATATTTTGTATTTTTATTGTAGTTTCTCTCTTTCTTTGTCCCTAAATTACAACCTTCACTTGTGGTAAGGTGATTTTCTCTAGTGGCATGCTTTGAATCCCTGTTTATTATTTTTGGTAAGTCTATGTATGTTTTTCTTTGTGGTTACCTTGAAGCATACAAAAAAACTTCTTCTATTAACAAGCTCTTGAAAAGATCACAACTTAACATTGATAATAAAAACAAGGAAAAAAAAACACAAAAAAGATTTTTTTAACAATAAGCAGGACACATTTGTGCTCCATTCCTCCTCACACTTTGAATTTCTGATGTGATAGTTGACCTCTTCCCTTACTGCCTGATTCTTGAGATTTTGGTGTAGCAATTATTTTTTTAGCTTTCACAATAAAGATATAAATGATTTACACACCGTGTTTCTAATACTACAGCTTTCTGAATTTTTCAGAATATTACTCTTGCCAGTGAGTTTTCTATCTTCTCATATTTTCTTCTTACTTGTCTTCTTTCAGTTTGAAGAACTCCCTTTAATATTTCTTGTAACACAGGTCTGGTGGTGATAAATTCTCTCAGCTTTTGTTTATCTGGAAATATCTTTATCTCTCCTTTTTATCTGAAGGTTATATTTGCTAGATAAAGTATTCTTGATTGGCATAATCCCACTACCTCCTGGCCTGTAAGATTCTTGTGGACAAGACTACAGTCAGGTGAATTGGGACCTCTTTCTTGCTATTGTTTCTTTTTTTCTGTGGCTTTGAGTATCCTCTATCTTTAGAACTTCACTAGGATATGTCTTGGGGTGGTCTTGGTTGAGTTGAATCTGACTTATGACCTTTGACCTCCCTATAGCTGGATACTTGTATCTTTAAGTTGGGAAGTTTTCTGCTATTACCTCTTTGAATATACTTTCTACTATTTTGGCATTCTCAAGTCTTTCTTGAACCCCAATAAGTTGAGTATTTTCTCTTTTCATGCTGTCCCATATTCCCATAAACTTTTTTCATTTCTCTTGATTCTTTTTTCTCTCCTCCTATTGTGTATTTTCAAATAGCCTGTCTTTGAGCTCACTGATTCTCTCTTCTGTTTGATCTATTCTGCTACTGATGAACTTCACTTTATTTTTAGCTGGAGAATTTCAGTTTGATTTTTATTTTGTTTAATTACTTCAATGTTTATCAAGTTTCTCTGCTAGAATATTGACTTTTTCCTCTGTGTTCCTTAGAATATCATTGGATTTCCTTAAAATGGCTGTTTTGAAATCTTCATCTGAGCATTTGGGAACTTGAATCCTAGATGGTTGGTTTCTGGCACCCTATTTTGCACTGAGGTAAGGCCATGGTTCCCTGGAAGTTCCTGAGGTTTGCTGGAGTGTGACATCATCTGCACACTGAGGAACTCATTTTAGTAACCTAGCCTCATTTGTGGCTGTCCTATAGAAATTCTCAGTAGTCTGTTATGTTGTTGTGGAGGGCTACAGTCTGCCTGCTGCTGTTGAAGTGGGTTCACTATCCAATGCTCCACCTCCATCACTGATGATGCTGACTGGAGTATGAGACTGCTCAACCAAGACCACAGAACTCCTCTGGGCACCAGAAGAGCTCCAGAGGCTCTGTCTGCAGGCACTGGGCTAGTAAGAGCAACCATTAAAAGCTGCTCCATCTTGGGTTTTATCAGCCCGCCTCTGAGTTCCAAGATGGTCCTGTGATTCCTTCTGGTCTTCTCAAGGTTATAGGAGGGGTAGATGCAGCTCCTTAGATACTCAGGTAGGCTGTAGGTGGGTCACACCTGGGTCTCACATCACCAGGCCTGGCTCTATGCAGTCTTAGGGGTGCACACCAGGCCTGTGAGAAGCTATTGGTGCTACATACAAAAACAGGTCTGTCTCACCAGGGTACAAGTCTCTGCCTGATATTGGGTTATGTTCAGAGGCTCTGTCCATAGGTACCATAACGGTCTGTTCTTTACTAGGTTTTACCAGCACAAAACTAATTTATCAGACACAGTTCTTTGGTTCCTTGATGACATCTCAAGGTTGGTGGAAGATGACAAAGGCAACTTCTAGCCACTCAGATTGGCCCCAGGCTGGTCACACCTGGTTTATACACTCTGGACCCCACAAAGTCCTGGAGTACCCTCAAAACTCACTCAAGGCTGACAGCAACATATGCCCAAAAAATGCCCAGCCTACCAGAGCACAGGTGTGTCTGCCTGATTTTTGGCAAGTCTAGAGGTTCAGTCTGTAAGGGCCATCTGGGTGGGAGAGGTCTTTAGGCTTTATCAGGTATCTGTTCCTAGTGTGGTAAACCAGATTTGAGCTCCAAGGTGCAGCCTTAACCTCCCTCTCCCACCTACTCTGCTTGGCTGGAGTTTAGCTTTTGTGGAGCTGGGTGGCAGAGGCTGCCTGGATGAAGAAGCTCCAGGTAGTCTCTCCATGGGTAAGGGCCTTGGGGCAGGGGCCAGTGGGCTCCCTCTGACACTTTCTTCACAGTGGCCCTGGCACTAGGTGTCAGTCCCCTTCCCCTCTCACAAAGGAAATGATTCTCTATGCTGTGCTCCTTGGAGCCAGGAGAGGGACGATGAGGGAAACTCTTGCTTTCTTTAATTTTCTTATAACATAAGGTACTGTGGTCTTTCACCTGGCTTCCATGGCTCTTGTGCAGGTGCCTTGGTAAATATATGGCTGTTTCAATTGATGTTTCTGAGGGCAGGTGGTCACTGGAGCTTCTTACTCAACCACAATTTTGGCTCCGCACTACCCCTCATATTGTAATTTTATACCTGTTGGTGTGACTATTTGGGTTACCTCAAGCTCTCCCACTAAACTTTAAGCTCTAATGAACAGAAACATTTTCTGATTTTTCTCAGCATTTTATCCTGGTTCCTGCTACAGTGCTTGGCATAAAGTAAAAGCTCAATAAATATTTGTTGCCTGAAGGGATGAGTAAATGAATTTCAAGTGACAGTTCCTGAGAAATGGCAGTACTTTCATAGAACTCCAATGCCCCAGAGCCTGCACTTGTTTTCCCAGAGTATTATTACTGTCCAGCAATGGCTAAATTGACCCATGGCTAGGAGGAGTGGTCTGTGTTCAGATTATTTGACCTCTAAATTCTAGAGTATGATTTTTAGATACTCCCAGACTCTGAACAGTCTTATTAGGTCAGCTAAATGCTGGAATGGAAATTCAAACCTCATCCAAATCTTCATGGCATTCTCTGGAGCTACAATGACCACGCTAGATTTCAGATTCTGGAACAGAGATGTCCTTGTCTCTTTGGAGCAAGATGATCCAATCTTCATGGGATACACTCTTGATACTCGAAGGAAGACCAGTGAGGCTGCAGGACCAACCAGGATAGGGCCACCCCAGTTCCAAGAAGGAGATTTCATCCTAGATGAGAGACAGGACATGGGCTCCCTCCCACCACCCATGTGCACCAGACAGCCCTAGTTCCAGACTGGTAGTGGTGGCTCCAACTACAGAATCAGAATCATCCATTATTTTGCTTAAGATTAATGAAGGGCCAGCGCCGCAGCTCACTAGGCTACTCCTCTGCCTTGCGGCGCTGGCACACCGGGTTCTAGTCCCGGTCGGGGCGCCGGATTCTGTCCCGGTTGCCCCTCTTCCAGGCCAGCTCTCTGCTATGGCCCGGGAGTGCAGTGGAGGATGGCCCAAGTGCTTGGGCCCTGCACCCCATGGGAGACCAGGAGAAGCACCTGGCTCCTGCCATCAGATCAGTGCGGTGAGCCGGCCGTGCAGCGGCCATTAGAGGGTGAACCAACGGCAAAGGAAGACCTTTCTCTCTGTCTCTCTCTCTCACTGTCCACTCTGCCTGTCAAAAAAAAAAAAGAGAGAGAGAGAGAGAGAGAGAGATTAATGAAGGGGGAACTAAGGGTCTGGGAGCAAGTCTGCTGTTTTGTGGTAGGACAGCATTTAGCTGCAATGGTTTTTTTTTTTTTATTTTCTTCTTTCTTTCCTTATTATTTCTCTTTACTACCACAAGTAGCTTAATCTTTGGACATCTGCAGAGGCCTATTAATGCCAGCCAAATGAAATAAAGAAATGCCATCAGCAGCCAGCCCCAGGCTGAGAATGACAACTGCAGCACAAGCAATCAAGGGCTGAGCGAGACCTCTCAACCACCCACGCAGCTCCAAGCAATGGCTCACTCGGCCTCAGAGCAACGAGGCTGCCCAGCCTCATTCCCAGCCCCATTCCCAGCCTCCACTCAGTGTGGGGCTCTCCTTGCACAGCAGCTCTCTGAGTGTGGTTGTATAATCTCTACGGACAACAGCACTTTCATATGCTGCCATTGTTGGAGGGCCCACTTTGAGTGGAAGCTTTTAAAACTATACATCTTGTGAAATATATATCTATACATCACCCACAGCAGTGCCACAGGTTAAATATTGCCTGCCACGTGTGCAGCACTGTACAAAGCTTGCTCACTCTGGGACTTTATTTCCCTCTCTCAAAACCCTGGAAAGTTGGGAAATTAACCCAGTGTTCAGGCCTGGGAGACTCTGTGATTAGCCAGTAAATGGGAAGAACTGGAACATGGACTCTGGACCTGAAACGTGGCATGAGGCCCTTCTCTTCTCCATTCCTTAGCTGTCTCACCTGGCTGCACTAGTTCTTGCCCAAAGGAAGCACGTGTGTCTGGGGACCTCAGTAGAGAGGAGGTAATGGCACCTGCCAGACAGCCTCTACCCCTGAGACACAAGGAGAAGACCAGGAGCTGTCTGGGGGGAGAGAGCGTTTGTTCCCTCTCTTCCACATCAAATAGCTGCCTGACCTGATAGCAGAGAACAGCAAAGTGGCAGAGGTGCTCCTAACCCAGACTTCTTAACTGTACCGCTCCGCTCTGTGATCCTTGGGTTTGCCACTTGCTGTTTCTACCAGGGTTCTGGGTCCTTACTTCAATGTCAAAAACTTCTTAGGGAAAGTGCTCCATGCTCAGCATTCTGTGAAAGGCAGCACAGCAGACCCAGGGGGTCGCTGGGCTCCACAGATGGAAGCTCTGGACTTGAACCCCAACCCTCCCTGTGTGACCTTGGGCTGCATCCTAGAGCATCCATCCTTCTGTGACTGAGAACACCTCTTGTCATTAATCACAATAAAGATGAACGCAGCATAGTATGTGGTGCAAAAGACTGTTTTCACCAAGACACTGCTAGCTTTTAGTTGCCTGTATCCATCCTAAATCCACTCAGCTCAGCATGAGACACTTCTGCTAGACAGACACTGCCGTCTTTGTTGCATTGACCGATGTGCAGAATCTCAGTGCCAGAAGGGCACAGTTCTCCATGCACTCCGCAATGCAGACCACGTCTGCACTGAGCTGCAGAGTTTAATCTTTCAAGTGTCAGAGTTACCTTCCCATCCAGATGATAAAGCCTGCAGAGGCCCGGTGCTAAACAGTTCTGCACAATACTGTTCCCTTTTCCACATCCCCAGTAGATGCCTGAAGCCATGCATAGCACCAACCCAATATCAACGTACTGTGTATTTTCCTAAATGTCCTGCAGAATTGCCACAGAGTGCCAGAGTTAATCAGCCCTTCCATGTTTTATGTCCTGGTATCTCCTTTGCATCACTACTCTTGTACTCTGAGGACATCATTAAGTAACATAAGCATGACTTGAACACAAGCACTGTAAAACCGCAACAGTGGAAGTGACAGCCAAAATGGTTACCAAGCAACTGATAGGCAAGCAGCATCCACAGCATGGAAACACTGAGCCAAGAGCTGATTCACATCCAGCGAAGGATGGAACGGGACAGCCAAGGTTTCGTCACACCCCTCAGGAGAGCTTGCCATTTACAGCCTATAAATTGTTTATTTCTGCAATTTTCCATTTAAGGTTTTTGGGCCAGTGTTGATTGCAGGTAACTTACATCACAGAAAGCAGAACCACAGCTAAACAGTCCCTTGCACAGAAGTAGACACAGGGTGAGTGTTCCATTGAACAAGAATTGTCTGGACTGGGATTTTACATTACGGCCCATAAGCCTGTCCCCTTAATGAAGGCTGAGAAGCATCTCAAGCTGGTCAGTTTTCATCTGGCCCCAGGGACACTCACCTAGCAGAGACCCTTAGGAGTGCTGCCGGTGCCACCTTAGATGGGACAGGCATTAATTAAAAAGTCAAACAAATTCCACAGGTGTCAAGCCTGAAACGGGGCCTCAGGGGAAGGAGACTAACACCAAGCATGCACTGTGGATCAAGGACACTATATGTAATCGTTCGGTTTAGACTTCACGGCTGTTTTACAAAATATTCCAATTTTCCTGACAAGGAAATTGAGGCGTGCATAGGTTAAGCAGCTCAGGCAAGGCAGAAGCAGGATGGATTCTGGGTTGATCTCACTCCAAAAAAATGCTTTGTCACACTTACACTCCCTCCCCGCTCCTCCGCCCCACAACCATGAGTAATTAAAATGGGTCAAAGGCCTGGACCCCTTGGAGCCCTCACAGAGACAGCAGCACGGACGTGCCTTTCTGTGCCGACTCCACTCCTTGCTTCCTCGCCTCTGCACCGCGCCGCAGGGCTCCAGGCACCCCCTCCTCTCTGCAGAGCCTCCGCTCCAGAGCTGCAGAGAAGCCTCCGTCTTGGGCTGATCCGGGCTGCCCGGTTCCTCCCCTGCAGGCTGGAAGGACGCCTCAGGAAAGTGCCCTGCCTGTCAGCCCCCGGGACCTGTCAGGATGAAGGATCGTGGTGGGGCTGCCTCCTGCTGTTTTTATGCTGATGAGGTTCCTTGCAATTCATTTTTATGTTCATTGCCTTCTCTCCACTTTCCATTTTCCTGATAGAGTATGGCACTGTATTTTGCCACTCTTGCTTTCCAAAAATAATTCTACAATAGGGATTTTTTTTTTTTTAAGTTTCAGGACTGCCTATATTCAACAATGTCCTATCAGCAGAACATAAACCCCTATTTACTGAGTAAGACACAGCTGAAATGTGCTTTTCCTGGATAGGTTATTCTCAAGGGTTAATATCCAGAGGTGGCACCAGAATAAACATTTGCAGAAGTGATGATTTGTTAAAGGCTTTAGAAATTGATAATGATGATGATGATGATGATGACGACGACGAGGGGAGGAAAGTGGGAGGGGCAGATAAAAGGCCTTAGAAATCATCTAAGCCAAACTCTGATCTGGAGCAAAATACAAAATGCCCCCTTCAATATTTAAAAGATGATAATCGAAGCTCCTCTCACTATACAACAGCAAAACGGTGACACATACATACATACGTACATAGAGATAATAGAGAGATGATAGGCAGACAGACGAATAGGCAGGCTGATAGACTAATTCTATTTTGTGCCAGGAAGTATTATAAACTTTAGTGATATATGATAATAAATAAAAGCTTTATAAGATGGTATGCAAATGACCTAAATAAGACATACACATAGGGGCCAGTGCTGTGGCATAGCAGGCAAAGCTGCTGCCTGCAGTGCCGGCATCCCGTATGGGCACCAGTTTGAGTCCTGGCTGCTCCACTTCTGATCCAGCTCTCTGCTATGGCCTGGGAAAGCAGTGGAAGATGGCCCAAGTCCTTGGGCCCCTGTACCCATGTGGGAAACCTGGAAGAAGCTCCTGGCTCCTGGCTTTTGATCAGCACAGCTCCAACCATTGTGGCCAAATGGAGAGTGAACCAGCAGGTGGAAGACCTCTCTCTCTCTCTCTCTCTCTCTGCCTCTCTTTCTTTCTCTGTGTAACTTTAACTTTCAAATAAATAAATAAATAATAAAAAATAAGACATATACATGTAACATGTCTAACAAATGAATGAATTTAGTGACAAAATACAGCCAGATCAAGTCCCATGAAGAAAACTCCCTGAAGGTTTTGCAACCGCCCATGGGTAACTTTCCACTGCTGCCATCTAGGCAGTGGGCATTTCTCTTTCTAAGCCTTTGCTTCTGGAATCAGGAGCCCTTGCCCCCAGCTGCCTGTCCAATCAGCTGTCAGTAGGATCCTCCACTGTGTAGAGACTCTCAGGATGCAGAGTAGGTACGGATTCAGCCTGGGAGCGTAACTGCACATTCCTCAGTACACCCCTGGCATGGGCTCACACATAAATGAGGTTTCTGCAACTGGTTCCCGTTCTCCGGTCTAAACCAGATCTCTCCTGGTTAGTACTTCTGAGTATTAACAGGAAACAACAGAACAAAACATTACAGCTTATTTTCTAGATCTCAGGCCTCCAAGACCCCAGCAAAAGCCACCCTCCCCGTCACCAGCCATGAGAGTCTGGGCCATACTTTGCCCCTTTGGCCTCCCTTCTCCTGGGCTCCCAGCTTCTGAATCTAGTCCGGAATGCCTGTGGCTCAGGCTGCTTTCTGAGCACTATTGCTTCTCAAAAACAAACAATTCTTGTGCGGCCCTGTCCTGCCCAGTGTTGCTTTCTGAAACTCCCCACTGCCGTTCCTCGTCCTGGCTCTCCTTCCAGGTGATTCTCACATCCGGTCTCATTTCCATGGTTGACACAAGCAGGAGCAAAGAGGACTGCAAACTCAGCCACAGTGCCTTTATCCCAGCCCCGCCAGCCAAGTCCTGCACACAACTCAAAGCACATTACTTTGCCAGAGAGAATTTAGGTCTGGGGAGAGTGAATAGGCAACAAGAATAATGTGTAGTCGGAAGGAAGCTAGATCATTTCATGAAACCATACATTCCTGGAGTGGAAATGAGCCTTGGAGGTCAAACAGACACCCAACCTACCCTGTGTTCTGCCTTTGCCTCCCATACTCCACACCCCATCTCTTCCTGCCAAACCCCAACAATGCTTCAAGGTCCAGTTTGAATGCCATCTACTCTATGATTATAGTATAGCTTCAGTCTTTGCCCTATCTCTGTCAATCTCACCCTTAATTGTCTAGGCACACAGAAACACACACAGACACAGAGTCACATCCCTCACTTCCTCTGCTCATGTATTACTGTTTTATTGTTTTCCCTGCATTATAGAGATGATCACATTATGCTGTGCACCCATTCTCCCCCGACACTCGGTAACACGGACTGTGCCTTGTTCACCTTTGTCTGTCACACAGGTATTTGGACATGGGTGCTCCATCAGCATTCACTAATTATCAGCACCAAAAACATACAAATGGGCAGGGAAAAAATCTAGAAATCAGCTTTCTGAACAACCATTCCAGAATTACTCTCTTTTTTTTTTTAACATTATCATGGGCTCTCAATGAAATTCCAGTGGGATCAAATTTCCTGGCTTGTTTTCTGTCTACAGCATGATTGCTTCCTGTCTGATAACTTTCTCGAACCCAAACTGCTAATGCAGCTGGAATCAGTGTGTCTCCTAAGAGGCAGCTATCACCTCAAATTCTCTATAAACTGTTTCCACAGAAACTGCCCCAAAATGCCAAAATCGTTCATTAGGGAGAGCTGATTCATGAAATTTAAAATAGCAGTTCTATATGGCTGGATAATTCTGCTGAGAAAAATAGAAAGAAAAACAAGGGGCTGGCTCTGTGGCATAGTAGGTTAAGCATCTGCCTGCAGTGCTGTCATCCTGTATGGGCACCAGTTTTGAGTCCCAGCTGCTCCACTGCCAACCCAGCTCCCTGTTGATGGCCCAAGTGCTTGGGTCCCTGCACGTACGTGGGAGAATCAGAAGAAGTTCCCAGCTTTTTGTTTTGGATCGGCCCAGCTCTGGCCATTGTGACCATTTGGAGAGTGAACCAGCAGATGGAAGACCTCTCTCTCTCTCCCTCTCTCTCTCTCTCTAACTCTGCCTCTCAAATAAATTAAATACTTAAAAAAAAAAAAGCATTGGCCTCTTCACACCCTTCATTTTGAGGTCAAATTGAAGTACAGAGCCAGGCAGACACCAGATAGCCATCTGGATGACAGGAAGGTTGGGCATAAACTGCCCCACACAAAAACCCACAGCTCTCCTGTGTGCCCTAAGACTTCTCCAAGGCAAGAAGTATCAGGATGGGAGGCAGGACCAGAGCACACTAACTCTTCAGGGACAAAAAAACTGCAAAAGCCTGGTAATACATACCTGCTTCCTGCCATGGGATTTCAATAAGTTCATGGAAAATGGAATTAAGGGGCCTGCACTGTGGCTTAATAGGTTAAGCCTCTACCTGCGGTGCAGGCATCCCAAGTCCTAGCTGCTCTACTTTCAGTCCAGCTCCCTGTTAATGGCCTGGGAAAGCAGTGGAAGGTGGCCCAAGTCCTTGGGCCCCGGCACTTACGTAGGAGACCCGGAAGAAGCTCCTGGCTCCTGGCTTCAGATCAGCCCAGCTCTGGCCATTGTGGCCATTTGCGGAGTGAGCTAGAGGATAGAAGACCTCTCTCTCTTTCTCTCTCGCTCTCTGTCTATAACTCTGTCTCTCAAATAAATAAATAAATCTTTTTGAAAAAAAAATGGAATTAAAAGTTTATTTGGGAGCAAACAAGTTAAAACCCACACATAGTATTTTCACAATATGCATTTCCATGACCTTTTCGAAGATCCTTCATATGAATCCATTTCAAAAATTTTTGCACCAAAATAATTATCTCTTTAATTCCATTTTTTCCAGGAACATCTTGAACCAAAATGTTTTGTGACAGTGTCACCACAATCTTTCTAGGACACAGAAATTTGGATCCCATCCCTGCTTGCCTTTCTAAGCACATTTCATTATTGAACATTTCACTCTCTTACACATTCAACCTCCTTCTGACAAATGGTTTCTTCCAGTTGACTTGTGATTTGAAACTGTTCACATGAAGAAAACGAGCTTCCTCGGTCTTCCCTTCGCCAGCACCTCCACCTCTCCCGCCCTTTCAGTGTTAGAATTCCTCAGGACTAAGTCCTCTGACTTCAGTGCTTCTCCCTCTGCTCCATCCCTGAAGAATCTCACCCATTCTCACTGCCTCCATTTCCACCAGTTCCCACAGGACTCATGGCTTGCTGCGTCAGGCTCATAGCCGCAAGCAGCCCCATGCCTATTGGCCCATCTGCCTACTTGGCACCTCCCATTGGATATCTTAAAGGCACCGCAAAGGATCAAAGACAAAAAACAAATGACTTCTCCATGTTCCAACCCTCCAGAAGAAGAAGCCTGCTTCTTCCTAACTTTCTGAATGGTATCATCCAGGTATTACACCAACCAGGTAGATAGGCATAAACCTAAAAACCACCCTAGACATCATCTTGTCCTTGCTACTTCCACCTTCCAAGCCAGCACTAAATCTTATCAACTGACCTACTTAACCTCTGGAATCCCTCAGCTCTCCATAGACTGTCTCATTGCAGGCCTTCCACATGTAGCTCCCTGCCCAAAAAGCTTCTCCTTCCTTCTCCCTGGCTACCTGGATCTCAGTGAGCATTTCAGCAAAGCTCTACCTGGCACTTGACTGGGGTCAAATCCCACTGTCACTGCTGGGCTTTCATAGGCCTTGTCACGTCCCCAACTTAATTAGTGATTTAATTAATGCAAGGGTACTTCAAAAAGCTTATGGGAAATGCACATTTCTCTTTGGAGAGACAGAGGGCTGCAAATAGCTGGTTCACGTCCCCAAATGCCTGCAACAGCTTGATCAAAGCAAAGAGCCAGGAACCCACTTCATAGTCCTCACATGGATGGCAAGGAACTAAGTACTGGAGCACTCAGTGCTGCCTCCCAGAGCCTGCATTCGCAGGATGCTGGGGTCTGCAGTCAAATCCAGGCGCTCTGATGTGGGATGTAGACATCCCACCAGGCATCTTAAATACTATGCTTCATGCACACCCCTTTTAATTCCATTTTCCATGAACTTTTTGAAGTCCCCTGGGATATGCCACTACTAATATTGTAACCTCTAGAAAATAGAAACTATGTCCTGTATGTGCACTGCTATCTAATCAGCACCTACCATAGTTCCTATCACACAACTACTTGCCACAGAAGTATTTATTTAATGAATGAATCAGCAAAAGAAGTGTTTAGGCTTGTTGTAAATATCTTTGGGGTGATTCCCCAGCATACTGTCACCGTCTGACTATCTTGATTACCTGGGGCAGATGTTTACCAAAATCACTGAACAACTGAGAAGCTAAAGAGGACCAGTGCTGTGACACAGCAGGTAAAGCCACCGCCTGTGACAACAGCAGCCCATATGTGCTCCCTATTGTGCAATGGCTGCTCCACCTCCTATCCCGTGCCTGTTAATGGCCTGGGAAAGAAAGCAGAAGATGGCCCCGGTGTTTGGCTCCTGCTGCCCATGAGAGACCTGGATAAAGTTCCTGGCTCCTGGTTTCAGCCTGGCCCAGCCCTGGCCATTGCAGCCACTGGGAGTGAACCAGCAGATGAAAGATCTCTCTCTCTCTCTCTCTCTCTTTCTCTTTCTCTTTCTCTCCCCCCTACCCCGCCATCTCTAACTCTGACTTTCAAATAAAAGAGTCTTTAAAAAAGAAAAGAAAACAAAGTGAGACACAAATAAATACCACTTTATTTCTCATACCAAAAAAGAAATAGTATTTCTAAAGGTTTCTTTAAAACATCCAACAAGCTTTGAGGTATCCACAAAAGGGCTTGATAGTAAAGGTAAAGAAACCAGACCCCCAGTCCAGCTGAGAAATGACTGTGGAGATCTTTATCCCTGAAGCTATGGTGAAAAGATCCTATTTTCTGTAGGAAAATGTTTCCCAGCCCTTGGTCAATTCACAAAAAATCAATTCCCAGACAGCCAATCTCTCTGACTGCCTTCTGGGTAAATTCACTGGCTTCAGTGTCTCCCCAAGTGTGATCCCCGGGGTACCTGCATTATCACCACCCAGGGTATTTACTAAACATACAGGCCACCCCGACTGAAAGACCAGAAGGCTGAAACTCAAATGCCCCACGTGATTCTCATTCAGGATGAACTCTGAAAGCAAGACTATTTTGTTCTAGACAGCAGGCAGCCACTATCTGCAAATACCTTGAGCCAGCCCTCACTTACCTCCTGGCAGCCTCTAGATATTGACAAAGACCTTCTAAACACTGCAGTGCAGACCGGAGGGAAAACAAAGATAACTTGTTTTCTAAATCCAATAAGATGGGTGGGCACTGTGATACAGCACATCAAGACGACACTTGGGAAGCCTACATCCCATGTCGCAGTGTCTGGGATTGAATCTCACCTCTACTTCCAATCCAGCATTCTGCTAACAAGCACCCTGGAAGGCAGCAGGTGATGATTCAAGTACTTGGGTCCCTGCCACCCACATGGGAGACCCAGGTGGAGTTCCTGGCTCCTGTCTTCAGCCTGACCCAGCTTAATGAACCCAGCTTAGTGAACCAGCAGATGGAGGATCTCTATCTATCTCTATCTCTATATATCTGTGTGATTTTGCCTTTCAAACAAAATGGAATGTTTAGAACAAATCCTATAAGAATAAAATTGCTTGAGAAAAAGCTAAGTTGGACACCAAGGAAGTTGAGGAAACTGTTCTCTCTTTGGTGGCTAAGCTAAAGGTGCTGGTGCCAGTGAGACCCTCCAGGTCAGTGGGCTGGGTCCAGGACTCACCTTGGGAAGTAGTGCCAGCAGAAGGCAGAACTTTGCAAAGTTTGGCTCTGGAAAAATAAACAAAGGATTCAGCCATGGACGCCCTCATAGACCCTGAACTGCACAACCCCTCCTGTGGAGCAAGAGGATTAAAAGATAGGCAGGGGTCCTGGGAGAACTGTTTTCCTTAAAACATGACCAAAAAAAAAAAAAAAAAACACCACCCTGTCCTACAATAAACCCCCAAGTCTCCTTGACAATCAGGCATAGCTTAATAATAAGAATCTGTTCTAAGAAGTGCATCATTAGGGGCCAGTGCTGTGGCATATGGGGTAAAGCTGCCGCCTACAGTGCCAGCATACAATTTGGGCACTGAGTCCCAGCTGCTCCGCTTCTGATCCAGCTCTCTGCTGTGGCCTGGGAAAGCAGAAGAAGATGGCCCAAGTCCTTGGGCTCCTGTACTCACATGGGAGACCCAGAGGAAGCTTCTGGTTCCTGGATTCAGATTGGTGCAGCTCCAGCCATTGCAGCCATCTGGGGAGTGAGCCCCCAGATGGAAGACCTCTCTCTCTGCCTCTGCCTCTGCCTCTGCCTCTGCCTCTGCCTCTGCCTCTCTGTAACTCTGCCTTTCAAATAAATAAATAAATCTTTTTTAAAAAGTGCATCATTAGGCAATTTATTCATCACATGAACATCACAGAGTGTACTTACAAAACTAAAATAGCAGATGCTAGTGTTCCACAGCACAGTGCAGTGACTATAGTTCACAATAATGTAAAGAATTGGAAGACAGGAGCTGGTGGGCTCCGATCCTAAAGAAAAGCTAAGGAAGTAGAAACGCTAATGGCCTGATTTTATCAGCTTGTATGCTGTACACAAATGTTGACATATTGCACTGCACTATATAAAATATGCAAGTATAGGAGCCAGTGCCATGGCACAGTAGGTTAATTCTCCGTTTGCCGGTGCCAGCGTCCCATATGAGTGCCAGTTCTAGTCCCGGCTGCTCCACTTCCAATTCAGCTGTCTGCTATGGCCTGGGAAAGGAGTAGAAGATGGCCCAAGTCCTTGGGCCCCTGCACCCACGTGGGAGACCTGGAAAAAGCACCTGGCTCCTGGCTTTGGATTGGCACAGCTCTGGCCATGGCAGCCATTTGGGGAGTGAACCAATAGACGGAAGACTTTCTCTCTGTGTCTCCCTCTCACTGTCTGTAACTCTACCTCTCAAAAAAATAAATAAAATCTTTTTAAAAAAAAGCAAGTATTACATGTTAATCAAATATCTTCAGAATAAAAAAAAAAAAACCCTAGATGCCATAGGTCAATCACTCAATGTGTCCTCTTGATTCAGTCAAGAGACACAATAAATAAAAGCTGTTTCAGGCAGCTGCTGGTGTAATGTGGTATATGGTATACTGTTTTACAGCAAACTCTTTGTAATAAATTGAAGGAGTACATATAAAATAGCTAAAAGTGCATACCATTGTAAATACATGGGCCAGTAACATCATCATCTTTTATAATGACTGCGTACTGTCCTTGTGTTGTGCTACGTTACCATGGCTACAATGTCACCAGGTGACACGAATTTGCCAGGGGCCACCATTGTACATGAAGTCCTTCCTTGACCAAAATATCATGCAAGCAGGATTATATTTATTTCACTTTATGTAATGAGATGTTGAACACACTGTCTCTGGGATGCTCTCATCAATAGCAATGGAAGCACCGTCGACCACAGGAAATGAACTATCACAGTAATAGGTACTCTTCATGGTGTGGTTGCTCTCCACCTAGCACTCTGCTTTCACTGACTATATTCCCCTCAGCATCCCTGAGAAGTAGACATAATTATCATCACATTCAGCAGGTCTGGGTCTAACGTTTAAAAGGATAGTTTTCCCAAGGTCATGCAGCTAGAAGAATGGGGCTGAGATCTGAACCCAGATCTGTGTATTTCTATGGAGCCATGGTAAGTAGTTAAGTTAGACTTACACAAGGTAACGACAATGCCATTCCATCTTTATCCAAAGTGTCGTTCTTCAACAGGCACCCCAATTCTAGCTTCCCTGCTTTTCTCCACTCAAGAAAACTCTCTCTCTCCTCTCTCTCTCTCCCTCTCTCTCTCTCCCCCTCCTCCCACCCCTGACATTCTACCCAGATCAATCCAGAATTCTATATCTAATTACCTAGATAACGAGGAGTTACATGTCTTTCAAATTGTTTTTTCAGGCTCCTGTGTCTAGTCTTTACTTCACACTTTATGTGAATCTGGCTTACAAATCTGGTTTTCTCCCAGTCCATCTTGCTTTCTCTTGCAAAATCCCTTTTCTTCAAATACCTTCTCACCATCAACTCAGCCCCTCTGCTCAAGCACATCTACTAGATCACTGTTGTTTCTAAAACAAACTGGCTTTAGTTATAGGACACTCAAGGCCGTCCTTGAATGCCTTGTTTTACTTGCTGTTCTGTGAGCAACACTTGGTGACCTACTCCTGTGAAAAGCAGAAAGAAGGACAATGTCCCAAAACGTTGCTGTAGTGCTGCTCACAGCACAGGACACAAGCTTATCCTTGCTGTGCAGTGGATGGTTTTGAGGCTTTTGTGAATATGGTAGGGAAGATTCCATATCCTGGAGCGGTTGTGTACAAATTGTGCTCTGTGTATCAAACCCAGTTTATTCATCAATTTAACACTGTGTTCTCAAAGCTATTTTTTCTCTTATGCCCATGCCACTTGGCAGGATTTCTAAGATTCTAGTTTTTGTTGTTTTTTTTTTTAATTTATTTTTATTTACTTGAAAGAATTACACAGAGAGAGAAGAACAGGCAGAGAGAGAGAGAGAGAGAGGTCTTCCATCTGCTGGTTCACTCCCCCAGTTGGCTGAAACGGCTGGAGCTGTGCCCATCTGAAGCCGGGAACCAGGAGCTTCCTCCGGGTCTTCCTATGTGGGTGCAGGGGCCCAAGGACTTGGGCCATCCTCCATTGCTTTCCCAGGCCATAGCAGAAAGCTGGATCGGAAGTGGAGCAGCCCGGACCCAAACCAGAGCCCACATGGGATACTGGCACTGCAGGCTGCAGCTTTATGCCACAGTGCCGGCCCCAGACTCTAATTTTTATCTTTACAACAATTTAAATTTATTGGGATATTTTTAATATAGAAAAATTATGTATATGTACGTATATAGGATGTCTTAATATATGTATATATTGTGAAATGGTCACTACAGTCAAGCTAATGAATGTATACATTTTTTCTACATTGTGTGTGTGCACATGTGTATGTGTGGTGACTAGATTTAAGATCTATCCTCTTAGCAAATTAGAAGTATGCAACACAATGTTGTCAACTATTCTCACCATAAAGTAGACTGCATCTCCAGAAAGTATCCATCTTACATTAACTGGGTCTTTGAGGCCTCTGACCAACATTGCCCTATTCTCCCCTATCCCCAGCCCTGGCAACCTTCACTTTACTCTCTTCTGCTATGAAGTTCATGATTTTAGATTCTACACATAAATGAATCGTTGTCCTCTTTGCATTCTTCCAGACCCCCTATCACCAGTCATCTTCCTTCCCTTCAGATAACTAGCCACCTGTGAACTCACTGAAATGCACCCAAGACTAGAACTTCAAGGCTTCAGTCAATCTCTGGAAAGATGTGAGTCATCAATCATTGCGAGGATTTCATCTGTTTAAGTTTACATAATGAGTTAGCTTAAACTATGTTTCTGTGCTGACTTGCTGGGGAATTTGAATTCTGCTGACTGGCAAACAGCAGAACCAGGCCAGCCTGTAAGTGAGCAGCAACAGGAAAATGGAGCTCCCTGATAACAGAGTAAATTAGCATCCTGTTTGAACAAGGCAGTTTTGAAAGCCTTCTGGAAATCACTGTGAAATTTGAATACAGACTAACTATGAGCTGATATTAGAAAACTATTATTAATTTTGTTAGATTAAAATGATACTGTCACTATAGAGGAATGTTTTCTTTTTTGAAGATATATATTAAATAATGTGAGTTAAAATAATGCTTTATCTGTGAATTACTTCAAATTATTTAGCCAGAAAAATACACAACTAAAAAGAGATTAGGTAAATATAATAAATGTTAGCAATTATTAAATATAAATGAGGAATAATTGAATGTTAATTTCAGTATTCTTTCTACTCTTCAAAAGGCTCATAATAAGAATCGGGTTTCTTTTTTTAAGAGATCTGGAACCAAGGGAAAATAATCTGATAATTATGTGCTGGTTTTTACAAGCTTTTTCTATTATATTATGTTATTTTGTCATAACAGTAACAAGTGACATATTGACTTCTTTATATAAATTAGGATTATAAATCTTGAAGAGTTTCATAACATAAGAGATGGAGGTTTAGGCCTTCATTAAGTGAATCTCAGCCTTTCACTATGAAGTTGTCTCTAGAGCTGGGCAAGAAAATCATTTCTACCTAAAACATGTTCGTTGCCAGACTTCACTTTCTGAGACAAAATTTAATATTGGTGAGATCAGAACAGTCTGAAGAGATTTTTTCCATTTTTCCTCCGCAATTATTATGCTTCTGAGCAAATTTTCCAGAATACAAAGATTCTAATTATTTTCTCTTACAGACCAATGAGGCCTTTATACACTCAAAAAGTTCTGACAAATTCTTTTATATGGATTTTGAAGGACTTTCCCATTGAATCAGACACATTTTCAGCGATGAGAGGGGAAGAGACAACAAAGACTGCCAATCATCACTCCAATCACTGAAATTGTGAGGATCAAATATATTCAGGCTTTCATCCTTGGCTATCATTTCTTGCCCTAACTTAACAGCGCGCATCTTCTTCAGACAAGTGAGTCCTTTTGATGTTGGAATTTGTAGCCGACGTGATTGACAGCACCAGTTTTGTAGACAGGAACCCAGCATGAAAGCCAGTTCCTGACCCTACCCCAAGCCAAGCTGATCACTCCTAACAGTGTCAACACTCAAGAGTTGCTAGGTCAGGCCGGCGCCGCGGCTCACTAGGCTAATCCTCCGCCTAGCGGCGCCGGCACACCAGGTTCTAGTCCCAGTCAGGGCGCCGGATTCTGTCCCGGTTGCCCCTCTTCCAGGCCAGCTCTCTGCTGTGGCCAGGGAGTGCAGTGGAGGATGGCCCAGGTGCTTGGGCCCTGCACCCCATGGGAGACCAGGAAAAGCACCTGGCTCCTGGCTCCTGCCATCAGATCAGCGCGGTGCGCCGGCCGCAGCGCGCCGGCCGCGGCGGCCATTGGAGGGTGAACCAACGGCAAAGGAAGACCTTTCTCTCTGTCTCTCTCTCTCACTGTCCACTCTGCCTGTCAAAACAAAAAAAAAGAGTTGCTAGGTCAGTTCTTTGGTACATGCAGGAGGCAGATGAAAACTGAAAATGGGAGACAGCACATATTGACTCATGTTAAAGATTATATTGTTGTTATGAGCAACACAGATACGTGAAAATAGGGCTAAGGATTCTTGTTGTTGTTGTTGTTGCATGATATCTATCTCTGGAAGTTGGACTTGATTTTAAGTAAGTGCGTTAATTTGAGTTCTAAGCAGGACTGACATTGTGAAAGGGTGAGTCACCATTGGTCCGAGTGGGGCGATACCCATAGGTCTGATAGGGGACTTCAGAAAATGCCTTCTTTATCCTCTGGTCCCTAAAATTCCTTCAAAGCAGGATTCCTAGGCTTAGGGCTGGAGATTCTGGCAAAATGAAACATAAAGCAGACATTTGTATTATAGTGAGAATAAGTTGCAGGTACTGAGAACAGATTCTGATAGAAAGGGTATACCAGCCTTTCACTGTGATGTGCATGCAGGGTAAATGTAGAAAGGGCAACTAAAAATGCATCCACTTAACTTTTTCTGGGGCCTACACTAAGTGTCACATTATCCTGAAAGATGTTCCTGCACCAAGAATAAATATCTTGTCATGTTCATTAAGATGCTGAGAGGGGCCAGCACTGTGGTACAGAGGATAATGCTGCCGCCTGTGATGCAGCATCCCATACAAGTGCCACTTCAAGTCCTAGCTGCTCTGTTTCCAATCCAGCTCCCTACCAATGTGCCTGGGAAGGCAGCAGAAGATGGCCCAAGTGCTTCAGCCCCTACCATCCACATGGGAGGCCCAGATGAAGTTCCAGGCTCCTGTCTTTGGACTGGCCCAGCCCTGGTCATTTTAGCCATTTGGGGAGTGAACCAGCAGATGGAGGATATCCTCTTCTCTTCTCTTCTCTTCTCTTCCCCCCGCCAACCCTTTCTCTGTCACTTCCTCTAATTCTTCTTTCAAATAAATAAATCTTTAAAAAAAGGAATCTGAGGCACATACAAAGACATACAATATGAATAGTATATATATTTTTTTAAATGTTTTTCCATACTAACCCAGTCCCTTTTGGTATAGTAAGTACAATTTTATAATGAGTTTTGCTATGAGCTGAATTATGTGCCCTCAAAAAAAACTTCGTATGCTTAAGTCCTAATCTTTAGTACCTCAAAACATGGCTGTATTTGGAGGACTTTAAAGAGGTAGTTAAGGTTGCATGAGATCATAAGGGTGGGATAGTATAATTTCTCTTAAGTGTGGGAAATTAGAAGTGGACTTTAACCTAGTGATGCAAAGATAGCTCAAAATATGGAAATCAATAAACATGATAAATCACATTAACAGAATAAAGGACAAACATCAAGTGCTAAATAAATGAGAGAAAGCATTTGATAAAGTTCAACATTCCTTTATGATATTTACTTCTTTTATTATATTATTATTATATTATTATTATTATTATATTATATTAGAGGGAGAGAGAGAGACAAAGACAGATATCTTTCATCTGCAGGTTCACTCCCCAAAATCCAGAGTTGAGACAAGCCAAGCTGGGAGCTGCAAGCTGAATCTAGGTCTCACACGTAGGTTACAGAGACTCAGTCCCTTCAGTTCTTATCTTCTGCCTCCCACAGTACACATTAGCAGTCAGGAACGGTACCAGAATTCAAACCCAGGCACTCTGATATGGGAAGTGGGGGCCCAAGTAGCAGCTCAACCACTACACTAAATGCCTGCCCCCTTCATGATAAAAACTCTGAATAAAATAGGTTTATAAGGAACATTCCTCAACACAATAAAGGCCACAGTTAACATCACACTGAAAAGGAAATAGTTGAAAGCTTTTTCTCTAAGATCTGGAACAAGACAAGGATGCTCATTTTTATCACTTTTATTTAACATAGTACGGACGTCCTTGCCAGAACAAAAAACAAGAAAAAAAAGTAAAGGGCATTCAAATTGAAAAGGAGGAAATCAAACTGTCCAGCTTGCAGATGACATGACATTACATATTTTAAAAAAGAAGACACTAGAATTGATAAATTATGTAAAGATGAAAACTGCAAAATAGACATACAAAAGCAATAGTGTTTCTATACAACAATAATGAAAAGAAAACAAATACCTGGGAATAAACTTAACCATGCAGGTGAAAGATCTCTAGAAATAAAACTACAAAACCTTGATGGAGAAATTGAAGAGGGCACACATTAAAGGAAAGATATGCTATGTTCGTGGATTGTAAGAATTAATACTGCTAAATTATCTGCACTACCGTAAGCAATTTACAGATTGAATGCAATTCCTAACAAAAAATCAATGACACTCTTCAGAGAAATAGGGGGGAAAGCATCCATAACATTCATATGGGATCATAAAAGACCTCAAAATAGACAAGCCCCTGAGAAAAATAATAAAGCTGGAGGGATTACAATGCTACAAAATATACTACAAAGCGATAGTAACCAAAGCAGCATGTTACTAGCACAAAAAGACATACAGCAACAGAACAGGGTAGAGAAACCAGAAATAAATCCACTTATTTACCATATACTGGCGTACCATATATACCAAGAACATACATTGGAGGCAGCTCAGGCTCATAAATAAATGGTACTGGGAAACTGGATATCCATTTGTAAAAGAATGAAACTAGACTTCTCACCATATACAAAAATCAACTGAAAATACTTGAAAATCTAATAGGACCTAAAACTTTTTAAAGTTTTAATTAAGGTATATAAATTTCATGTATTTCATATACACAGATTCAAGCATAGTGATACTTCCCTCCTACCCACACTCCTTCCCTTCCTCTTCCTTCCTCTCCTATCCCCACTCTTAATTTGTACAAAGATGTATTTTCAGTTTACTTCATACTATAAAGTTAACCCTACACTAAGTAAAGAGGTCAACAAATACTACGAAGAAAAAGCCATTGCTTCTCAACAGTCGAGACAAAGGCTGTAAACTATCATTAAATCTCAAAATATCAATTTCACTCCTATACATTACCTTTTAGGTACTCCATTAGTTACCACAGATCAGGGAAGACATACGATATTTGTCTTTTCAGGACTGGCTTATTAAAACTACTAGAAGTAAATATAGTGGAAACACTTCAGGAAACCGGTATGGGCAATGATTCTTAAGAAAACTCCAAAAGCACAGGAAATCAAAGCAAAAATAAGCAAATGGAAATGTGTCAACCAAAAAACTTCTCCACAGCAAAGGAAGAAATCCATAGAATTAAGAGATAATCTAGGCCTGTGCCACGGCTCACTAGGCTAATCCTCCACTTGCGGCGCCGGCACCCCGGGTTCTAATCCCAGTCAGGGCACTGGATTCTGTCCTGGTTGCCCCTCTTCCAGGCCAGCTCTCTGCTATGGCCCGGGAGTGCGGTGAAGGATGGCCCAAGTCCTTGGGCCCTGCACCTGCATGGGATACCAGGAGAAGCACCTGGCTCCTGGCTTCGGATCAGCACGATGCACCGGCCACAGTGGCCATTGGAGGGTGAATCAATGGCAAAAAGGAAGACCTTTCTCTGTCTCTCTCTCTCTCACTATCCACTCTGCCTGTCAAAAAAAAAAAAAAAAGAGAGAGAGAGAGAGAGACAATCTACAGAGTAGAAGAAAAAATTTGCAGACTCTTCACCCAACAATATTCAGAATTAATATATAAGGAACTCAAACAACTCAATGACAAAAATATAAATGATCTAACTTGACAATGGGAAAATCATCTGAATAAGCATTTCTCAAAAGACATACATTTGGTGGCCAGTATCGTAGCATAGTGGGTAAAGTTGCTATCCGCAAACCCAACACTACTTATGGGTACTGGCTTGTGTTCCAGCTGCTACACTCCAATCTAGTTTCCTGCTAATGCACCTGGGAAAGCAGCAGAAGATGGCCCAAGTGCTTGGGCCTCTGCCTCCCACATGGGAAACCCAGATGAAGCTCCTGGTTCCTGGCTTCATCCTGGTCCAGCCCTAGCCATTGTGGCCATTTGGGAATTCAATCAGAGGATGGAAGATTTCTCTCTCTGTCTCTCTTTCTCTGTAACTCTGACTTTCAAATTAATAAATAAAACTTTTTTTAAAAAAAGACATGCAAATGACTTACAAGTATATGAAAGAATATTCAACAGCACAAATTGGAGAAATGCAAATCAAAATCACAATGAGATATCATTTCACCCCAGTTGGCATGGTCATTATTAAAAAGACAAAAAATAACAAGTGCTGATTAGTATGTACAAAATGGGGAACTCTAATATGTTTTTCATGGGAATGTAAGTTAATACAGTTATTATGGAAAACAGTATGGAAGTTCCTCAAAAAAAGTAAAAGAACTACCCTATAGTCCAGCAATCCCAATAGTATTTATCCAAAGGAAAAAGATACCTGCATTCCCACATTTATTGCAGCATTCATAATAGCCAAGATATGAATTCAGCCTAGTTATCCATCAACAGATGAATGGAGAAAGGCAAGTATATAAAATGGAATACTATTCAGCCATAAAAGAATGAAATCCTGTAATTTGTGGCAATGTGGATAGGCCCAGGGGACATTATATTAAGTGAAATAAGCCATGCACAGAAAGATAGATACTGCATGTTCTCACTGGTATGTGGGAGTTGAGTAAGTTTCTCTCATAGACGTAGAGAGTAGAACAGGGGTTACGAGAGGCTGGGAAGGGTAAAGGAAGATAGAAGGCCAGCACCGCAGCTCACTTGGCTAATCCTCCCGCCTGCGGTACCAGCACACCGGGTTCTAGTCCCAGCTGGGGTGCCAGATTCTGTCCTGGTTGCCCCTCTTCCAGGCCAGCTCTCTGCTGTGGCCAGGGAGTGCAGTGGAGGATGGCCCAAGTACTTGGGCCCTGCACCCCACAGGAGACGAGGATAAGTACCTGGCTCCTGCCTTCGGATCAGCGCGGGGTGCTGGCCGCAGCGCGCTGGCCGCAGCGGCCATTGCAGGGTGAACCAACGGCAAAGGAAGACCTTTCTCTCTGTCTCTCTCTCTCACTGTCCACTCTGCCTGTCAAAAAAAAAAAAAAAAAAAAGGAAGATAGAAGCTGGTGATCAGGTACAGAAATCTAGTAAACAGGATTAGTAAAATCTATACTCCGTAGCATAGATCAACAATTAACTGTAACTTATTATAAATTTCAAAACTATATATTTCAAGATGATAGGTGTGCTAATTCCCTAATTTGATCTTATACACTTAATCCATGTATCAAAATATCACACTATACCCCATAGATATGGACAATTATTATGTTAATTTAAAATAATTTTCATTCCCAAGAAGAAGAGGAGGAAGAAGAGGAGAAGACACACAGAGGGAAGGCATGTGAAGACCCAGGGAGAGGACATCTGCAAGCCAAGGAGGGCGGCCTCAGAGGAAGCTCACCCTGCGGCGTCTTGATTCCAAATCTCCTCCAGGCTTCAGCACTGCAAGAAGATACATTTCTGTTGTCTAAGTCATTCAGTCTGTGCTAATTTATTATGGAAGCACCAGCAAACTCATAAAACCTTCAGAATGTTGTTCACCTTGAACTGATGTTGTTTTTAACTTCAAATAATGGCGTATGTTTGTTTAGATGGGGCACACAGTTCTGCTCCACTGTGTCATGGTCCAAGAAGCTCCTCTGAGGCATTAGTCATCAGAATTTTTCAGAAATAATCACAAAATAATCACATGGATTGCAAGAAAACCAAGCACTAAAACCATCAAAATAATTTACTGAAGCCAGTTGTCAAGGGAATTTGGCCAATATGAATTGTTGCTCTCGAAAAAAGAATCCAGATATCACTCAAGAGTTTCCAGGCAAACTCTGTGGGCACAAATTTTTTTGATACTTTTTTACTCCTAGAAACCTCCAGACCTCTCTTTCTCACTCAACTTTGCATTTTGTGTCCTTTATACGACTTTGAGAGGCCAGCAAGAGTTCCTATCGCTGATGCTTTCTCAGACATTGATGGAAGGATAAATAGGGCGGCTGCTCTGGAAAACAATCCTTGCAGTTCCACAAGGGGTTAAACACAGGGTTACCAGGTGCCCTAGCAATTCCACTCCTAGGTATATATCTAAGAGACATGAAAACATAGCACCACACAAAAATCCATATGTAAGCATTCGTAACAGTGTTATTCAATAAAAGCCAAATGCAGGAGCTGGCATTGTGGAACAGCAGGTTAAGCTGCCACCTGCAGTGCTGGCATCCTCTACAAGTGTCAGTTCAGGTTCTGGGTGCTCCACTTCCAATTCAGATTCCTGCTAATGCACCTGGAAAAGTAGCAGAGGATGGTCCAGGTACTTGGACACCTGCCACCCACATGGGACACTTGGAAAAAGCTCCTGGCTCCTGGCTTCAGCCTGGTCCAGCCCTACTTTGGGAGTAAGCCAGTGGGTGGAAGATCTCTCTATCTTTCCGTCTCTCTCTCTCTCTCTCTCTCTCTCTGTAACTCTACTTTTCAAATAAATAGTTTTAAAAGTCAAAAAGCACAAACAATCCAAATGTTCACCAACTGATGAATAGGTAATTGAAATAAATCCCATACAATACAAGGGAGTATTCAACAACAGAAAGGACTAGTTCTGATACATGCTACAACATGGATGAGCCTTGAAAACTGTGCTAAGTGGGGTCAGTGCTGTGGCGTAGCCTGGTAAAGCCACCACCTGCAGAGCCAGCACCCCATATAGGCACTGGTTTGTGTCCCAGCTGCTCCACTTCTGATCCAGCTCTCTGCTGTGGCCTGGGAAAGCAGTGGAAGATGGCCCAAGTCCTGGGCCCCTGCACCCAAGTGGGAGACCCAGAAGAAGCTCCTGGCATCAGATCAGCCCAGCTCCAGCTGTTGTGGCCATCTAGGGAGTGAACCAGTGGATGGAAGACTCTCTCTCCCTCTGCCTCTCTGTAATTCTTTCAAATAAATAAATAAATCTTTAAAAAAAAAAAAACTGTGTTAGTTGACAAGCCAGACACAAAGGCCATATATTCTCTGATTCCATTCACGTGAAGTGTCTAGAACAGGTAAATATATAGGGATAGAATGTAGGTTATTGTTAGCCAGGGACCAGAGAGGGCAGAAGGAAATGGAGAGGGACTGCTAATGGATGGAAAGTTTCTTTGAGGAAATTGTCCAAAATCAATTGTGGTGATAGCTGTACAACACTTTGAATACACTAAAAACCATTGAACTATACACTTTAAATGCATAAAGTGACTGCTATCGTAACTGCATCTCCAGATACTCATCATATGACCACTCCCCCATTTCCTTCTAAGTGCACTGTTCTCCCCCAGTCCCAAAGCTCATAGGCTTCCTCTTTGTCAGGAGCAACAAAAAAGGGATTCAAAATTAGAGATTTGGGTAGACAGTCACTAAGGCCTTTTTTTAAATCTCAAGAATTTAAAATCACTATTGACCACTTACTTACAGGTTTCACAGTGCTGCTGTGACAAACTATCACAAATTTGGTGACTTAAAACAACACAGATTTGTTATCCACAGGTCTGGACATCAGATGTCTGAAATGGGTCAGGGCTAAAATCCAGATGTCAGCAGTGCTATGTTCCCTGACACTGCCTGCATCCTTGATTCATGGCCCCTTCGTCCATCTTCAAACCTTTTTCTGTCTCTTGAAGGACCAAATATAATTGCATTGTGCCTACCTGAATAATCCACATTGCCTCCTCATCTCAAACTTTTAAAACAATCATACTGGAAAAGTCCTTTTCCCCTGCAAGGCGACATACTCACAGGGTCAAGGGCTTGGAACATGCATATATTTGGGGGGCAATTTTCTGCCTAGCACACCCTATGCAAGTAGCTGCAGCATGGGAGAGGGCATCAGACCTTAGGTAAGAACCACAGAAGAGAGAGAAAGCACTGAACTGAGTCCTCTGCACAGAAAATGCCTACAAAGACCACAGCCCCAATTCCAGTTCTCCCTAGACTGGTAGTCTGCAGCTTCCTTCTGCCACTTTACGGGCATCAGTAAATAACACAGGTACGTTCACTTTTTTTTTAATGGACAAAGAAAAGTCTGCACACATAGAGTAATTTTTTAAAGGATTTGATGGAAAGGGCAGCAGTGATTCCCAGGAACAACTGTGAGTTCACAAACATAAGGACCTGACAAAGTCACCTCCCTCTTTGCTCCAAGAGGGTAGACACTGCAACGTGGCAATGCAGCATGTCTGATCTACTCCAGTGCATCAACTTGACCAGGAACAACACCCCAGGAGATAGGACGGAGATGCCCGGGCTGCGACAGACAACAATTCCCTACCTAAACAAAAGGCTAGCTGATCTTTGCTTAAAGAGTACTAAGTGGATCGACGTTATTTCGTGTGGGGCCACAGGGAAGAGGTTTGACGTTCCTATCACTGGTTTAGATGACAGCCAACCAGAAGGGAACTCATGAGCAGGATGCCCGGTGTACCTGTGCAATGTGAGATCAGCTCATGGGGTGCATGCAGAGAGCAGATGAGGCTGGGAAGCTTGGTGGAGGCCTGAGCATTGTTGGAGTCCTGCTGTGCTTTAGATTTTCTGTGTGGCTCAGCCAGTCTGGGCTATTATAATATAGTACCATAGATGCGTGATTTGTACAACAGACATACTCTTCTCACAGCTCTGGAGAGTGAGATGTCAAGGTCAGGGTGCCAGCCCAGCTTGGTTCTTCATAGGGCCTCTTTCTGACTTGCAAATGTCATCATTCTGAGTAGATCCTTAGATGGCAGGGAGCAGAGAGAAAGGAGAGACACATCCTCTCCTGTCTCTTCTTAGAAGGGTGCTGATCTTATTCATGACCTAATTAACTCCTAAAGTCCCCACCCCTAGATACTCCCACATTAGGGGTTAAGACTTCAACATATGAATTTGTGGGACACCCAAAGACTCAGTCCAGAACACTGTGATATAAAAACAACAGAGACTTGGCTGGTGCCCCGGCTCAATAGGATAATCCTCCACCTACAGTGCCGGCACCCCAGGTTCTAGACCCAGTTGGGGTGCTAGATTCTGTCCTGGTTGCTCCTCTTCCTGTCCAGCTCTCTGCTGTGACCGAGGAGGGCAGTGGAGGATGGCCCAAGTGCTTGGGCCCTGCACCCGCATGGGAGACCAGGAGAAGCACCTGGCTCCTGGCTTTGGATCAGTGCAGTACGCCAGCCGTGGCGGCCATTTGGCCAATTGGAGAGTGAACCGACGGAAAGAAGACCTTTCTCTCTGTCTCTCTCTCTCTCTCTCACTGTCTAACTCTGCCTGTCAAAAAAAAAAAAAAAAAAAAAAAAGACTGAAACAAGGAACATCTAAAAATACAAAAATATGTAAGTCAATAGGTCTCTGGATATGGCCCGTAAGAGACAAGAATAGAGACGCGCTGTGTGCCTGGAGATGTGAGAAGACACGGGGAGGGTGCTGATGCACAGCGTGGCTGTAGTGATGGAGGCGCACAGGCCTGACTGAAGAGCACACTCAGGGAGCCAAGAAAGGATCAGCTCATGAGCACAGGGGGCAAAACCAAGCTCCAGAGGAAAGCAGGAGGGCACAGCAAATCATAAAGCATCCTACGGCAAAATGTGGTAGTCCCCAGAACAGCTCTCCAAAAATGTCTAATAGGCATGGAAAATGCTCTCGCTATGACTTTTTTTTAAAGCTTCTAAGCTATATCCAATTTTTTTTATTTTAAGAAATATGCCATCTTACTCCCCATATAGCACCTCTGTCCCTAATGAGTTGTACTATGAGAATCAACTGCAAATTTTGTTCCCAAATGGCACTCTATATGTTGTGTGTGTGCGTGGGTGCAAATTGTTGAAGTCTATGCTTAGCATGGAGTTGGTCCTCTGTATATAAAGTCAAACTAAAAATGAACCATAATGAAGAAGGAGATGGGAGAGGGAGAGGGGAGGTGGGATTGGAGGGGGGCAGAGATAAGGGGGAAAGAACCAGTGTATTCCTAAAGTCATATCTATGAAAAAAAATGAATTCATTAAATAAAAAAGTAAAAATAAAAAATTTTTAAAAATAAATATGCCAAGAAAAACATCAGAAAGACTTCAAAATGTTAGCAGGTGGTGGAATTCTGAGTGATTATTATTTTCTTCTTTTACTTCTCCATATTTTCCAAATTATCTACCAGAAACATGCAACACTTTTAAAACCAGAAAAACAATTTCAGTTTACAGGTGGAAGGGTGGGCACAGAGAAAGAAAGTTATCTTTTCATCCCAGACAAGAAAGAATTAAGAACAAACATGTAAAAAAGACTTGGAGAAGGGCTGGTGCTGTGGCGTAGCAGATAAATCTGCCGCCTGCAATACTGACATCCCATATGGGCGCCAGTTCGAGTCCCGGCTGTTCCACTTCCAATCCAGCTCTCTGCTATGGCCTGGGAAATCAGTAGAAGATAGCCCAAGTCCTTGGGCCTCTGCACTAAGGTGAGACACCCAGAAGAAGCTCCTGGCTCTCGGCTTCAAATTGGTGCAGCTCCGGCTGTTGTGGCCATCTGGGGAATGAACCGGCAGATGGAAGACCTCTCTCTCTTTGCCTCAGCCTCTCTCTGCCTTTCAAATATAAATAGATAAATATGTTTTAAAAACTGAGTTGGAGAAAGAAAGGAAAGCAAGGTGGATGAAGGAGCTCATTGGCCAAATGACTGAGTCAAATCAAGAAGCTGATATTCTTCAAGGAGCATCTCCGTAAGAGACAATTTTCCTCCTGAATAAAGCAGATATTTTTAATTTTTGCTCATTTCAGAATTTTAGCACCTTTTCGGTGAGAAATGTTGGGAGGAAACATGCCACAATTGATCTACAGTCCAATTTTTCTCCAAACTTAACAAAATTCATTAGAAGCCGCATGAGCCTCTGCTAGGGCTGACTCACTTTCATAAAGCAAAACAGGACAGACCTCTCCATTTGCTGGCAATTATTCCTGGCTACCATCACATCAGCTGCCACTCATTGGCAATGCATTAGCCCTGCAAATTAAGTAATCAGCAGTAATGATCCATGGTCAGCCCATAGCCAAATATGCCTCAGCTCTCTTCATCTGAAAAATGAAGACATGCACTCCATCTCTGAGAGACAGCAGCAATATTCAAATGATACAAACACAGGCATGATCGCAGTCCTTCAAGCCAGGCCCAGTTAATCCAAAAGCCTGTCCCCAACACCAATAGCGTGCTTTCTGCTAGAGCTTACGAGTTTTCCCCATTCTGAACACTCAAACTTCCTGTAACAACACTCTCTTAAGAGACCTGTGGGTCCAAGCCCTCATTTTGCAGATAAGGAAATTGACTCCCAGAAAGATGAACTGATTTCCCCAAAGGCTCACAACTAGTTGGTGGCAGAAAGAGAGAAACCCAGTCAGCACACATCAGGCACCTCTTCTCTCTCCCACACCACCATCCCATCTGCACGTGGGAGAGAGGGGTACTCGAATGGTGGATGGGGTGGCACCACACATCACCCAGTTGATTGGTGAAGACACCTAGAAGGGCTTGGAAAAAAAGGTGTCCTTGGGAGAAACAGGACCAAGGGACAAAAGAAGAGGTGCTGGCATAGGAGCCTTGGTTCTGGTATCCATGGCAAAACCACTTGGATACATTAATCTACGTGCTTTCTAAAACCCGTTGCTTCCTTGAGCCTCTACTGCTTCAAGAACTAGCAAGTGCCTCAGTTTCACAGAATAGCACTCTACCGTGGTCCCTTTCTGACAGTCAGGACCTTTGCATCCTCACTCACCTTGAATATAAACCAAAACACAAAAGGTCCCTGCACACTCACCCATAGTGATGGACTACAGCCTCTCCATCTTTGCTCCCACACTGAGCTCACAGCTGAAATTGTATTTAATGCAACAGTGAGCCTGCAGATGTAGCCATGAGGGCTCAGAAGGCAGAATATTCATTTTAGGTAAACAGTGTTAAAGAAAAGATATTGGGGTGAAGTTAAAGATGTGGCCTTTCTTAGGTTTCTAGCTACAAGTAAAAATAAGATTGTTTTAAAAATAAGAGATGTGGGGCCGGCGCTGCAGCATAGCAGATAAAGCTGCCACCTGTATTGCCGGCATCCCATATAGGTGCCAGTTCAAGTCCCGGCTGCTCCACTTCCTATCCGGCTCTCTGCTATGGCCTGGGAAAGCAGTAGAAGATGGCCTGAGTCTTCGGGCCCCTGCACCCATGCGGGAGACCTGGAAGAAGCTCCTGGCTCCTGGCTTTGGACTGGCGAAGCTCCAGCCATTGCGTTCAATTGGGGAGTGAACTAGTGGATGGAAGACCTCTCTCTCTCTCTCTTTCTCTCTCTCTCTCCCTTTCTCTGCCTCTCCTTCTCTCTCTGTGTAACTGTAACTTTCAAAAAAATCTTTAAAATAAATAGAGATGTTATATATAGAAAGCATTTAGTGTAGTATTTAACATATGTTAAATATTCCATAAAGGATAACTACTATTATAATTATTTAAGACAATTATTATGACATTAGGACAGAAAAACTAAATTTTTTTAATTTCCTATAATTTTATTTCTCCTGGAGAAAAAATTTACTTACCAAAAAAAAATAATAAAACAAACTCAACCAGAGGGTTAGAAATTCATCTACTGTTTATATATTTAAACCCCAACATCAAGTAATACTGATCTTGACTCAGAAAGTCCCAGATTTGGGTCTGGCCTTTGGCCTAGTAGTTAAGACCACACTGGGGACATCCACATCCTACATCAGAGTGCCCGGGGTGAATCCCCACTGTGCTCCTGACAGCAATTTTCTGCTAAAGCACGCCCTGAGAAGCAGCAGATGATGGTGCAAGTGCTTGGGTCCCTGCAACACATGTGGGAGGGCCAGACTGAGTTCTTGGCACCTGGCTTTGGCCTGGCCCAGCCCCAGACATTACAGACATTTGGGGAACGAACCACGGGATAGAGGATCTCTATGTGTCTTTCCACCTTTCAAATAAATTAAACAATTTTTATGACCCTGGTAGTAAATCTGAATGCCTTCCCCATCAGAATTCCCTGTCTCTTACTTTCCCTCTTCTGCAGATAGAAGGGAGTTCTATAGAGGCAGTCACCTGTAGGTAATGCCCCTTGTCCCAAGTCACAGAGACCACAGAGACTGGGGAGCAGTCCCCAAGACTCCTCTGACAGCACTTTTCTAATTGGTGTGGGAGGGGCCCAAGGAGAATGACAGAGTCAGCTTTAAAGTCAAAAGCCAATGTTGTTCTGGTGCCCTTTCCAGGCTGGGTGTGTTAATATACTAACAGTCTCCCTCCCACAGCCAGACTGTCTGCCTGCAGACTCACTGCAGCAAACCTGCACTGCACCTCTCTGCACAGACACAGAAAATTCTTTATTGCCTACTTGTCACTGCAGGACACAGCTGACAAGACTGCCAATTGAAAGTCTGCTTAGTTCTGAGGTCAGTGGTCAAATGGAGCCAAAAATTAATATACCCCCTACAAAATGCAGACCAAAGTATCTCTATATATTTTGTAATGGATGAGCAATCAAATTGCTAATCTCCCCTGCCTTTGCTTTGAACCTGTAGCATGGTGGCCACAGGACCAACACAGCACAGCACTAAAAGGAGCAACTTCCATGTGCCAGGTGTTCTGAGAGGTGCATAGCATAAATTATCTTACTTAATTTTCACAATAACCTCACCAGGAAGAATCCACTAAGTCCATGTTAAAATTAAGAAATAGAGACTCAAAGAGTAAATTGTCCAAGGCCCACAACTAGAAAATGGCTCAAGACAGGTTTGAACCCAAGTATGTCAAACCCACGCTTTCCCACATTGCTTCCCCTTGTGCCAACCACACACAGCCATGAAACCTCTGCTGCTTTAGTTGACCCCACCAACCCACCCACACTTAGAGCACTAGAGCTGTGTGCTGGGCTTTGCATAAGCTGCTGAGGAAACACAGGTGAGAAAGAGGTGGACCCTGCCCTGTGAAAGATCCCAGTCTAGAGGTAGAGACAAACAAGTAAACAAACGATTGAAACTCAAGACTTTGCAAATGCAATTGTTGAAAGGGAGGGGTTGGGGGAGGAAGAGCAAAAGCGAATTTTAGTTAGACTTGAGGATGTGTGATTTCCGGTGCACTGCTTCTCCTGTACATCCCTGTCATTTCACATAGAAGACATCATGGACTGTCTGGAAGATATTCTTGGAAGGAAATTGTGTTTCCTGGGCTCTCATTCTGCAGCTGAGGACATTAAGCCCTAGAGAAGGAAGCAAACTGGTCAGGATCACACAGCAAACAAGGTACTCTGGTTTCCTGACTCAAGTCCTGTGGTCCTTGGTACACACCCAGTGCCACCCCAGACTGTCATTGACTAGAGAGCTGACAGGCAGTTGCCCACATACAAGAGAATGTTAGTGATGGAAACAGACTGCAAAAAGACTCATCTGAGGTTTATGCAGGGCAGGACACAAGTCGTCTGGACCTGGGAAACATAAGCCAGTGACTTGTAATGAGTCCTGGGAAATGTCCCAAAAGTGACCAAATTCTAGTCAGAATGTCTGCATTCCATGACAGTGCATTTTCCCCTATCACTATACAGTAAACATGTTGGCTTGGCCCAAACAGGCAGTCTTTAAATCAGGAGCAAATTCCTCACAGCTTGGAGAATCCTGCTTGTTGAGTATGATTGGTTACAAATAGCTTTAGAGATGGGGTATGCTTTAAAGGCTACTGATTAATTTTAAGAAGGATGTTTCTGGGAATATATAAGGAATATTTAGACAAGGAACTAAACATTGTGCAAGGTTGTTCCAGATGATTAAGACAAAACAGACCCTTTGTGCACTCCCTTTCCAGTCAAATTGACCTGGTAAATAGGTTTAACAGACTTGTCCAGACATGCATCATACAAGTCTCAGTAAGTGTTTGTTTTGAATGCTTTGCAGGTTTTTTTTAAGATAGTTTGTTCTCAAGGACTTCAAAAGTTCCATGGAAAAATTAAGTTAAAAATAATGCCCTAAGTGGACATTTGACCTAGTGGTTAAAAAGCCAATTAGGACACCCATATCATGGGATATAGCCCTGGCTCCTGACTCCAGCTTCCTGATAATGTACACCCTGTAAGGCAGCCTGCCACCCATATGGGAGGCCTGAACTGAGTTTCTGGCTCCCAGCTTCAACCTGGCTTAGTCCCAGCCATTGCACATCTGGGGTAATGAACCAGTGGATAGGAGCTATGGCTCTCTTACTCTCAAAAATAAATTCAAAAGAAACAAAGTTCAAGATAATGTACATTTTCCACAACATTTGGAAGCCTTCTTATATTTGGTTTACTCTTTTTCTATCTCACTCATTCCCTAAAAGAAAATTATAAAAGTTAGCTTTTTAAGAGGAAGTGTAAAGAAGTACAGCATACAAGTGAACATAAAATATTGGCATTGTCAATTAGTATCTTAGGAGGAAGCAAAAAAGAAGGAAGGGAGGAGAAGATGAGTTATGGGCACGAACGGTCCTGTTCACAAATAAGATGCAGCTACCTTGTCTGGAGCCCTTGTGCTGCTTCCTTCCTTTGAGATGGGGGCTACGTAGTTTGGACTTTTCCACTGGTTTTCATTACACTTCACAGTAAGACCTACTGGCTTAAATAGTCACACCTTTCTGCAGTCTGGTCACATAATCCTTGAAGGTAATCAGGCAGCCAACAGCATGCACCTTGCAAACTTCCAACTACTGGACCCTCATGTACTTGACCACAGTGCATGCATTCCAAGATCCATTGCCATGTTTCATGGGGCACCCGCTGCACATCACCAGGACGGCACCAGGTCACCATTCCAGTACCTTACATGTCAGCCCCTGTGTCTCATGACCTGAATGAGGGGTATCTTTTTGAGGCAGCCATACTTTTTGTCCAGTCCAGCCCTGTGTGTGGGTTCCTTATCTATGCACTAGGGAGCACCTAATACTTAGTCTCCTGTACTTAGAGGATGCAAACAATACACCCAGTACCCTGAAACATAACAAGATTTCCTTTCAAAAAGACCCAGTGGTCTGTCACAGTACGTGACAGACAAGAAGAGAAGAAATACACAAGCATCCATTGCTCCTGATGTTGGGGAGTCTACAACTGTACAACAGAGATAAGAATAAAATCAATACCCTCCTGGTAGTGAGTCTGAAAACATGAAAATAAACCTGGGCCACAGACGGCTGGAGTCAAAGCTGAAGGAGCTGAAGCAATACCAACTCGTCTAAAAAACACCAGTTACAGGGCCCGTGGAAACCATCAGCTTGGTGTCCAAGGACTCTGGGATGTCAAGGGGAAGTAGCAGAGCAGGTGCAAGAACAAAGTGCTCAGTCACCCAAAGCTCTTGCCTTGGGACTTCAGCACTTTCCAAAAAGGATTCTGAGTTCCAGAACCAACCCGAATCTGCAGTAGAGAGGATACACTTGTTGGAAATGCAGAGAAGCTTTTTTGGAATAGGATTGAGCTATAAAGGTTTAATTTTACTAAGGCTTTTCTCTTGAAGTGAATGAGTGAAAAATGATTTCTTGTTGATAAGGTTGTCTTTAATGGGGACTTCTTTCCCTTTTGTGCTACTGTTTGCTGCCCTTCTACCAGAGCTTCCTGCCATGATGGAAAATGGGTTCTTCATGCTGTCTTCATCCCAGCCCTTCCCATTTGGAAGCCCCAAGCTTTGAACTGAACTACTCTAATCCTCCATTTTCCACCATACCCTTAACAGTCATCAACCCCCTCATGCAGATGAACACCCAGAACTCTTCTTCACAGGTTTTCTGTAGAAATCAACACCATGTGACCTTCACCTTCTGTCACTTCAGCTTGTGGCTCACCAGACTCAGGAGGTGTTGCTTCACTGTAGGACTCATATCTGGGCTCCATCAAGGTTTTTATGAATTGAAAAAAAGAGGCATGTGCATAAGGAAGCTTCAAAGAAAAAAATTAATGAACACAATTCTGCAAAGTTGGTGGGGATAAAGATCTCTATGGGATTTGCATTTTTCTTTAATGCATAAATGACTATAAAAATCAAAAAAGATGGGGCCAGCATTGTGGCACAGTGGGGTGAGTCCTGTTAGTAACATATACCCATGTCAGAGCGCTGATTTGAGTCCTGGCTGCTCGGCTTCCCACCCAACTCTATGCCAATATGCCTCAGAAAACACCAGAAGATGACCCAAGTGCTTGGGCCCCTGCCACCCACACAGGAGACCCCGATGGGGTTCCAGGCTCCTGGCTTCAGCCTGGCCCAGAACTGACTATTATGTATTGTGGCCATTTGGGGAGTGAACAAGCAGATGGGGAAAAAAACCTCTCTCTCTCTCTCTCTCTCTCTCTCTCTCTCTCTTCTTCCCTCTCTCCCTCCCTCCAACATGTCACTCTGTTTCAAATAAATGGTTCTTAAAAATGAATAAACTACTATAAAACAAAATGTCTTCTTAGCAATGACTTTATTCTTGCCCTGAGCCAACATTAGGCTAGAATATTTGCACCATGAAGTCCAAAATCTTATTTGTGCCTCTATTTCTTCTCCCAGGTCCTGTCACCTTCACTTTGCCAATACCCTTCTCTCTGAATCCCTTTCTTCCCTCACTTATGAGGTCATCTCTGGGAAATTAGAGGTGGCTAAGGAATGGGTATCAGGAATACCCTTGATATTTACTTTCCATGTAATGTCCTTCTACCCATCACCTTAAAGTCATTGCTCAAAGGTCAGTTTTTTAGTAAGGTCTTTCCTGACCATTCCATTAAAATTTGTAAATCACTCCCAACCCCCAGCACTGTATATCCCCTTCTCTGCTTTCTTTTTCTCCATAGCTTTAGGAAAGACAAGATGTTTCTGTTTTGTCAACTGCTCTTTCCCAAACATCTAGAACAGTTCCTATAATATTCATAAACTCAATAGTTATTTGTTGAATTAAGGAAGAAATAATTTCCTGATATGAGAGATCTGGTTAGGAATCATGTTCTCCTTTCAACATCTAAGACCTCATTACACACAGACCACCCCATAGTCACTTGCTGCTGGAATCCCATCATTCAGCAAGGGACCTTTTTGGGTGAAAGAATGGCAGTCTATCTCAAGGCCAAAACAATTCCTGGGTCTACAGGAAATATATTTATCAGTGGCTGAGAGGAACCTTCTTTCTTAATACAATTTGCAAATTTTACTCAAATAAATGGCCAAGCGGAGAAAGATTATATTTACTAGCCTCCCTTGCAGCTAAGGAAGGCCATGTAACTAAATTCTGGCCAATGAGAAGTAAGCAAAAGTGTCATGTCAAACTTCCAGGAAATATTCTTAAACAGGAAGAATATAATACTCTTAATTCCTTCCTCCTTAAGACCATAATATGAATATGATAGCTAGCATTTGAACAGCCATGCTTGAAGGTGAGGTAGATAACTCAAGTTAAACATTTAAAGCAGCATGATAGAGACTAGGTTCTTAATGACTGCTGCCCACCTGGACTGACTACACATATTTGTCCAGAAATTCATCTATTTCAAACAATTTTATGTTCACTGGCACAAATTGTTCATCATATTCTTATTTTCTTTATAATACCTGTGAGATCTGTAGTGATGTCTTCTTTTCTATTCTTGACACTGATTATTTACACCTTGACTGTTTTCTTCCCTTGATCAGTGTTGCCAAAGTATATCAACTTTGTTAGTCTTCAAAGAATTGACTCTCAGCTTAATTAATCCTTTCTATTGATGTATTTTGTTACTATTACAGTTTATTTACTTCTATTAGAGGGGAGTTATTTCTGCTATTTTTTTGTACATTCCTGGATATAAGAATATCTTTCTTTGGATATTACTTTAACTATATTGCAAAATCATGTGTCATATTTTCATTATCATTTTACTTTGTAAATTCAATTATCTCATAAATAATGCAGAAGTGTATTTTTAGTTTTCAAATACATAGGAATTTTTTAGTTATCATTTTTGTATTTATTTATAGCAAAATTATATTGTGGTCTGATTCTGTATAAATACAGTTCCCTGATATAGTATTAGTTTACCTTTTCCATCCAGTATTGGGTGAATTTCTGTAGATCCTATATGTACTTGAAAATAATACTATTCTGCATTTGTAAGAAATTGTTCTTTTGGGGCTAGCACTGCAGCACAATAGGTTAATCCTCTGCCTGTGGTGCCAGCATCCCATATGGGTACCAGTTCTAGTCTAGGCTACTCCACTTCCAATCCAGCTCTCTGCTATG